TCCAACAGAATTTCCATGCAAATCTCTCCGCGAAAGGAAAGTAACGTACGGATCGTTCCGTGACGAAGGATCATCAGCGGTGGGTGGCTTTCGATACTAATCGGCTTGTTTTACCGTGAATCTGACCTAAAAATTAGCGTAAAAATCCGAGGAAAGCGGCTCTCGCGCGTACCGGGGGAACCGCGCTTCGCAACTTGTTCTCGAGTAGCTCGCTCAGCGTTTTCGCGGACTCGAGTAGCGATGCTCGCGCGAGCGCGCACGAGACTTCCGGAGGAAGTTTTCGGGGAGTTCCCCGGAGGGAGGGAGGGACGAAAACCTCGCGAGAAATAAGATCTATGCGAAAACTGGCGAGGTCGGGGAGGGGGCGGTGAAAAAAAAGTCACTCGCAAGAGAGGAAAAGAGATTCCTTGACTCCCCGATTTCCCGACCACTTATATGGCTAATTGAGTCGACTTCACAGACTCTTTGAGCCTCGATTCGCGTCGAGCATCGGAGCAACGAGCTTTCCAAATTCCTCAGACACCCTCGAGACTCCCTACGCGTTTAGCAGCGGCGTGAACCAAAGGACCGATAGCTATTTATTAGATATTTTCTTGTTTCTTTAAAAGAAACCATTTTATCGGGCGCCATGCACCCTTAGGGTCGTCGACTCGAACGAACCATAGAATTTTCTGCAATACGACGTTTTTCTACGATGGTCCTAATCCCCCAGTTGCGTGTACAAAACTATCAGATTATATTCAATATGATAATGCATTTAGATATCACCGCGAGTCCCCTTTCTCTTTGCATTTAACAAGTACATTCGACGACTAACTACCCGCTCTGTTAAGGGGCAAGACCACTGTAAAAACCTGAAATAAAGCATTTCTTTATGATTTTTTTGGATCGATGGAAAAGTAAGAGGATAATAATATTCAAGAATGTTATTAACCATATCGTTAGGTGTTAAAAAAAAAATATATTTATTCATAAATAGTGCAAAATGACCACGCTGCATCTCTCTAACTATACTGATGTAGATTAAGAGAAAATTTTTTGTTTTTTTGGCTCCAGCGTCGTCGTCATTTTGCACTATTTTTTAATAAATATTTTTTTTTTTTTTGCAACACTCAACGACATGGTTAAATAACATTCTTGAATATTATTATTCTCTTAAAAAAAAAATCGCAAAAAGACGCTTTATTTCAAATTTTTACAGTGGTACCCCTTAAGTAATTCATGGTTCAAAAAATATATTGAAGAGTTTATAGTATACTAAAACTGTTTTATAGTCGATCTTTACTTTTATAAAAATGAGCTGGAAAAGAATGCAACGGCGAAAAATTGAATTTTCTTTAATTAGTCAAGACGGTGGCCCAGATGATAAGGATAAATGATTTTTCCAACTAATTACTCGAACTGGAGGCAAACAAAGATCGTCCGTGGAGGCGCAGGATACCACCATGCCTCGTACACGAACGCTTCAACGGCGAAGAATTCGCGAATCTGGGACAGTTTGATCGATAATGGCGTAAACCTGGCCGCGGCGATTCCAGGAATGGCAGCCTAATTGGATCCCCCTTAAATAAGTATTTCAATTTATCCGCAACGCGCCAGTTGCACGACAAGACAGCCTTTTGCGAAGAAGAGCCGCGAAAACGTGCTGGAAATCGTTTGAAAGGCCGAGAAATTCGAAGGCGCGGAACGATTAACAGGTATTAACGAGCAACGGCGGCGGATCAGAGTGTGTAATCGAATTAAAAAACATTCGTGTCAACTGGGTCTGGGACATCTCGAATTTTCTCTATTCCACTATCGAGAATGAAGAAATACTTGACTATTTGCTTTGATAGTCCAGTGAAACCTCGATTTAACGAACACCGGTACATTTATTTTAAAATTTATTCATATTTTTAAGATCGACCTAACCTATCACCTTGGTATCCATCTCTCGTCAGTATATGTTAACACTTTACCGACCGGTAACCTATTAATCGTTCTTTTTGGCGCCAACGCTTACCAACCGGTAACCTAACCTAACAATCGGTTCTCAAGAATACAAAAAATGTTATCAGATTTAATTACTCTACAGCAGAACGCGACGTAGTACTATTTAAACAATGCAATATATGAACACTTTCAATTAGATAGTCAAATTTTATTTATAGTTATTTCTGTTGTGCTTACGATTTGTGGAAGATTCGTTTAGGATTTCGATCCGTGTGGCGAATCCAATGATCCTCGTCGTAACGAGGAAGCGCTTCAGGGTCGAATGTATAAAACATTTGTGTCACATCCCGGCATTAAACAGCGGCGAATTACGCTTTCGAAAATACCATGCGGTTTTGTTTGCCCGGGCTCTATTTGGACTTCGCGACCTACTCGTTCAAGGTCATACGTCGTCTGCAGCATACATAGCGATGCACCGGTGTGCATTCTGCGCCGACGAGAATCGATAAACCACGGCAAAGGGATTAAATAGTCTTCTGCATCTCAACCGCGAACTTTTCGCCCGCCAATTTTCGTCCCTAAGCTTCGAGCGTGGACAAACGTATGCATAGATGGCGTAATATATGTAGGTCGGTAAAACAACTAATAAATCAGCACGGAAAACAAGAATAACAGGGCACGAAGATAAATAACTAATTCTAATCGACCTTGAAAAAATATAGAGATTTTCTGCACGCATTTTCTGTACAGGAATGCATTTGTAGATAAAGTAATCGGTATTGGTTATGTTCGGAAGTCGGTGGTTTCCTTTTACGCTAAAAATTTTAATTTGTACAAGGTCTCTTTACTCTAATAATTATTTAACTATTTGCTTGCTTTTCAAAATTTTTTGTGTAAAACATTACTTCGTACTTCTATTTGTACACACGTTTAACGAGCCTGGGTTAGATATGTATATCTATATCTATATGTATACGATACAATATGAAGTTAGAAAATTTTATGGCGGAAAATACTACACGATTGGTCTACGAGAAACGAACGATAATAATTTCTGTCTTTGTTCGACCATAACTCTAACATTTAAGCATAACATTGTACTTGAAAAATAAAAAGTTATATAAAAGGTTAAGTTCGCTTGTTGTGAAATGACGTGAACGGTTTTGACACGCCGTTGACAAATTTTAGATAACTCTAAAGCACAGGTATTACCGCGAGGGCAGTCCGCAAATTAAATTGAATCTAGTTATCTCGGCGTCTAGTTAGTTTTTTCCTCGAGAGACGCAGTAATTGTTTCTCTAAATTATATGTCCGTGTCGGTCAACCGCAGTGTGCGTCTAGGTATACATATATGGTACATTAGCAAAGCAGAAAATGTTTGCAGTAAAACTGGTTCTTATAAACAAAAATAACTGTATATTACACACCTTTGCCCTTATGAAACGATCGAAGAGATGATAGATTCTACCTTTGCCCTTATAAAACGACCGAAGAGACGATAGATTCTCAAATGTCTCAATGTTCCGGTCACGTGACAAACATTGCCCCCGTAACGAGCACACATAACAATAAATTGGAAGGGACAGACGTTACGTCATCGTAGATGTAGGTACGCAGTAGGAAAATTGGCTTTAGGCTATAAAGACGTCTCTCAGCTGGAGTTACACGAGAAGAAACCCTATAAAATTCTCCAGCCTTCGACGCATTACGTTGCGCGAGCTACGCATTTATCGTCGAAATTACTCAAGGAATCCGGACTACACCGATTATAATCGCATAAGCGAAAGCTTCGTAGATAAATCCGAGGCGATCTAATTTTAGTCGCGATTTAATCACTCGGACGACGCTAATTCTGCTGTCGAACGTGTTTACGAAAAGATCGTATTAAACCGCGAGAGACCGTGGTCACACGATACCGCGTTCTCTTTTTGTGGTAAAAGAATCGAGTCATTTAGAGGTGAGAGATACTACCGTGAATTTTAATGATGCTATAAAATAAAACAGATATTTTAGGAATCCGACGCGAGCAACGCGTTTCTGCACGAAACGACTAAACGTGAACATTATTCGACACAAGGCCAGTCTCAACTAGTTAGACCACGTTGACACATGTTATTTCTGCTACATTTCCGTCTGCATTACGTTACAAAACTGTTACTCAAATTGATAATATTAATCGTATGTCACCGATTTCGATAACAGCTAATTATAAATGTATGGAAATTTTATAAATGGCCGTAGTCATAGATCAATATATTCTAAATAAACCAATATATTTATTTGATCTAAGTAGCCGTCCGTAACGCGTTAGCTGTACGTTGTATCGTACCCTAACCATGTAACATCACGAACACCAGAAAACCTAATCGTCACACAGTTTCAGATTTTTTTTTAATTAAAATAACACGTTGCGTTCATGTTTATGTACGCACGTATGCACGCTCCGGTCCAGAGCACGATATCAATCAATAACAACCATAAATGAATCGCGGAACAAGGGATGAGATTGACAGGTGACATACCGTGGTTGTTTCTCCGAGAGTTCGGAACTCCCTCGCCGCAGTCCCCTTCGAATTCGATCGGTGATGATCGCAGCACAAGAAGAAAGAAGATAAGCACAAAAATGAACACACGCGACACGCACGGATTTCTCTTCGTCCCGACACGTTCGCGTCAACTGTCTTTGATTTACATGCCGTGAAAACCGCGAAATAAAGGGTAGCGAAAACACCGCGCACCGGTTGACACGACCAACAACCGCGCCTCTAAAGCTTGCAGGAGCAAACTGGCATTTCTCGTGCAGCAAACTTTCGCGCAAGGGCGCAGCGCGCGCTCCAATTGGTCGGGGGACGCGCGGCTAAGCCAATCGCGATCGATCGTTCACCGAGCGTTGACCCCCCTCCCCACTACCCGTATCATAACATAACGTTTCTGTTTGGCATCGAGGCGAAGGGTGGAAAGCTGGCATGCCGCGAGCGTATACCGAGCGTACCGCGCACGCGATCGAAAATAAACTTGAAAACCCGATTAATCGAACGTGTATTCTCGATTCTTCGGAGAAACCACTCGCGACGATGGTTACTATGGAAGTGAGAAGACTCGGTGACACAATTGAGCGTGCCGGGTAAACGCGCATGCGTCCACGTGGGTCACCATGGTTACGGTCAACCTGAGAGAAAACGCGCGCAACTTTTCACAGTTGTATAATTATGACTCTTAAATAATAAATGCGTCACGTTTAGCTAGGTAGCTTGCTTTTCAAATAGCGTTAAGCTACTAATATTGATAAAATCGCGCAACTAGCATTGTTAACTATATTTACAGCTAGAAAGAAATTTTCACTTACTTGATATGTGAATTCCAGATGAGAAAAATATTTTTGATAATGAAATGCGTCTCCACGATCGTTGTATGTATGACAGTACTTCACAAAGACGTTGTTGATAGTAAATTTTTCGTAAATGCCGAACAGTTTTTGACGATAGTAATTCTTCCATAAATAGTTGGATAATAATATTTCGCCATAGTAATTTTGCAAACTATAAGTGGTATCTTCTGATTCGTATGGACGTAGAATTTCGGTCAAAATTGCAATTAACTTGTTCAAAATTGACATGATACGAAGGATGACAGCTTGTAATCCCTTCTGTTTTCTCACCCATTTTATTGACGTGCATTTACTATATCGATACGAAATATTTCATCAATGGGTAAAAAATACTTCACTGGCGATAAACTGTAATTAATTAGAAATTTTTAATACACGACTTCTACGTTATTAAAATATATAGCCTAATGTAAACCGATTGACCGAGCGTTCTCTCACAAAAAAAACAGCAACGAATATATCGATTAATCACTTCCGGATCGCTATGGCGCGAATTTCAAACATTGATTCGCACACAAAATAAAAGTACATACTTCAATGTGTACGACACACGCCTTTAATTTTTTACAAATTGATTTCTCGTTCCTACGTATAAAAAAGAATATTTTGTACGATATATTTCATGCATATATTAAATATTAACAGAGGATAGGACTATTACTTCTGATAACGATTTGTATACAGTGAGGATGACCAAAATTGAAATTCTTCATTAAAAAGTGTACATCAAAATTTGTCGATTAATTGCAATATGTGTTGCTGTTCTGCTTCTCTCCATTCCGAGTCGCCAGCGTCACCAAGATTGCCAGCATATTCTGTAGAAAGAAAAAGAATTCCATACATTGCATATCGATAAGTAGCCTTGTAATAAAAAAAGCATACCTCTCATAATGTGCCTAATCGTTTTAAGAGATGCTCTTCTTTGAGCTAAAATTCGCGTAACTCGTTGTTTCACTGCTGGTTGACAACCGGTACAAGCTTCTAATAGCACATAATCTACCAACTGTAAAATGAATAGTCCGCCATCTAATCTCCTCAGGTACGATTCTTCTTCGTCTTCATCCTCCTAATAATTATGGTACTAATGAATGTATCCTTAAATAAAAACTCCTATTAAATTACTAACCTTTGTATTGTTTTCGACTTCTTCCACTTTCTCGAGATACTTAAAATGAAGCTCCATCAGCCTATCTACTTTTTCATAATCATTTTCCGTGAATTTACTTAATAATCTCTGTCGCTGTTGGCCCTTACAATTTCTTAACATACTCGCTATAATTGACACTACATGTTCTATGATAAAAAGATTCATTATAACATTCTAAAATTTCATAAACAAAATATCACTAACTTTAATCACCTTCGTGTTCTTCCGCAGTAAGCATCTTTTTTCTATTCTTGGTTGGAGTTTTCATGAATAAAGGAAATATGGTTCTTAATCCAAGAATGTCTACAAATTTACTACAATTATCTCTCCCGTCTGGACCATTCATTGCATGATCTAATACCTGAAATACGATGTTAAAATTTATCAATATTAGAATTTATTACAATATCTAGTTCAATTTTTACCTTAAGAGATCCATTTCTAGACATTTTTTTCTCCCGTAACATTAGATTCATAAGTTGCAAACCCTCCCCTCTTAAAAATCTATCTCTATTCACAGTTGCCATTAGACTCGAGCATAGTACGTTAAATAAATTTTCCATCATTTCTTGTTCCTCGGCTGTTTGAGGATCATGACGTTTGTAATACTAAAACCAATATAAACGGGTAAACATGGTCAAGTAAAGAACTGTGAAAGAAAAGATTGCACATACTGCTAACTGTTGTAGTAGTACATCAATACCATCAAGTTCACCAAGAAGAAGTCTATTTTCTGATGTACTTTGTAACAGAATGGATAAAAGTTCACTAGCATAAAGTTTATTAGCGTCAAATGGTGCTTTTGCTTTAATTCTTCGTAATAGCCATTGCATCAGTCCCTGTTTTCCAGCATCAGCGCATAAGTCAGGCCTGAACTCTAAAAGATTTTCAAAGATAGCTGAAAATAGAACCCATTGCTATTAACTTATTAAATTTAAAAATTTCACATAGCTTGAATATAATTACCCAAAGTATTATAAACTCCATCACTTTCTTCTTTTACTATTTCATCCAGCCTTTCTAAATTTTGAACAAGAAGAGCACAAACTTGTTGCTCTAACAAAGCATCGATAAGTGTATCCGCACCCTCTTGACTTTCATGTAAAATATCTACATCCGTTAACTCTTGCAAAAGGTCAACAACACCAACCGCTATGTCTGTATTTTCATGCGATAATAATTCGAGTAAAGAAGGTACAGCACCTAACTCTACCATTAACGGATATAGATCTGGATTAGTGGCAACAACATGAAGTTCTTGAAGAGTCTCGTGCAATTCAACTTCCGATTCCATAAACCTATTATTACAATTAAAATTATATAAATTTCAAATTTAGTCTGCTGAATCTATTATTTTAAAGGTAACATACTTCTCCGGTTGATCAGGAAACTTCACTCTCATTTCTTGATTCCTGAGCGCTCTTTTCTCGAATAAAAGCACCATCCTTTTAAGCGTTGCCTCGTCTAATGCTTCCACCTCTGGAGCTTCTGTTTCTACATATTTTAAAATATCTTGTTTCTCTTTTTCTGTCAATTGTGGTTCAACCACATCGTTCGCTGGGGAAGGTAAAGCAGCTCTAATTGGTGTGGGTGGTTCGCTACTCCTAACTGGAGTGACTTCAATCTCTTTTGTCTGTCTTTGACGCGCATGATATGGAGTTTTAATAACCCTTTTTGGTTTCTTAGCATTTTCCCATTCATCGTCGTCGTCGTCTTCTCCCGCCACCGGCCTTTTCGGTGTATTTGGCGGCTATAAAAAGTAACGAACTTTATAAGGTTAGGTAGGTTAAAATGAAAATCTTTTTTAGGCCAGTAAAACTTCGAAACACATCTTAACGTTCGCCGCAAACATACTTTGTACGAGAGTAATTCACCGATATCCATTTGCAAAGTTCGGCAATGTTTTTCTTTAAACAAATTAACTACAATTACTCAATTCAATTGTTAGCCTCATGTAGTATATTTCATTATTATAAATGGCAAATCACTGCAAATTAAAACAAATTTTAAAGACTATTTAAACCAGTTAAGGCTACAATAAATCATTTAATTACTTTTGTCAACTTAAACTTTGTGTCATTAAATAAAATTGTTCTGTATATACTGAAAGAAACGTAAAGATGTCAGTACCTTCTCTTTTATTAAAATGGAAAGTACTGCTATACTGTTGATTACGGAATTTTAAAGAAACAATACTTTATACGTTCTTAAAAATTATTATGAAGAAATTTATTAAATTTCACCGTTTTACAAACGTTTTGTAGTACTGTACTGTACAGCGCTTCTTAAATGACATATTTATTATATTGTAAAAAAACCTTTGAAATACTTTGTCGAATAGATTTTGATAACCACTGCTCCAGATACACGGTCTGACAGTGGTGTTTGTTCGGTTTGTTGTATTTGTGACTTTCACGTCATAACTATCGTGGATGTTAAAAGACGAATGGAAATATTTATTAAACAATATGGACACGTTATACCATCAAACAAACAAATTGGTCCAGGAAACTCAACATCTTTTCTCGCAGTTTGAGAAAAGATCGCCTAACCTAGACATCGAAGTAGAAAACACCATAGAATCAAAAATAAATCTCATCAACAGGTAGTTAACCAACAGATTTCTGTTTCAAATGCTTCAAAACGACGCTAAAGACGTACAAACTTATGTATCATTTATTTGTAACATATGTATATAGTCATGTAACAATAAACAATAGTTAACAATAGTTGAACTATATTTGTTTTATGCATTAACTTTTTAGTAATTGCGAAAGGTTAGATGTACTATGCCTGAAAGGTCCCATATCTCAAAGACAGAATGCTAAGATGAGAGTGGACCAATTGAAATACGACAGCCGTCACCTTACAGCTGCATTAAATTCTTGGCGCAGTAAAATGATGAAAAAACAAAGAGAAGAAGCCGAAAGAGAGGCATTGTTATCTACAACATTCGCTCCAAATGATCACATTGACATCGTGATAGATCACAATGTTCAACATAATTCTAGTTTACGAAATGCAGTTAATGGAGTGGACGATCTGCTTCAAAGTGGAAGTAATATTTTAGATAATTTAAGAACACAACGTATATCTTTGAAAGGAGCTCACAAGCGATTAATAGATATTGGGAACACATTAGGACTTTCAAACACCACAATGAGGATAATAGAGAAAAGAGCAAGACAAGATGGATTTATTTTAGTTGGTGGGATGATATTCACATGTATGGTTATTCTTTTGGTTATAATTTATCTTACATAGAAGCAGAATCTTTCACTTGCAAATATGCACAGGGTAATTCAATGAAAGTGTCCCTCTTATCAGTGTTGTAATAAATAATTACCTTTTTCGGGGATGTATAAAATTTCATATGTTTTTATTACACTACAAGAGAAATCACATTAATTAAAATACTTGAACTATTTAGTAATGTTAAATGCTTCGTCCTTGATATACTAAATTGAACTGCTGTTATTGTAAATTGAAAATAAATGTATTTGTACATAATAAAACATACATTCGTATATTTAAAAAATCGATTTTCATTCATTATCCTATTTAGCAACAAAAGGTCGCAGCGTACGAAGAAGAAATGATTAATTTCTAAAAATTGCATCGCGATTAATTTTTATGTTGGTAATGCTAAATCCTGTTTAATTTAATTTCATCGGTCGATAAGTATAAAATATAATAATTTATATGTTTGTATATTTGTGTGATATTCCAATTAAGATTTACTTTTTTAATTTAATGTTTCAACATCGATATAAAAAAACTAATATCTTTTCACGCATGCTCATCAAGATAACATTCTATCTCCAAGAAAACACTATGAATTGTTCCTCGAGATTTTTCGTATTTTACAATGAGTTGAAAAATAAATAATTAAATATTTATACGGTTTTGTAAGATTCAATGTAAATATTGTGTAACTGTAATATTATACATATACCTTTTTCAACGAAAGGAACAAACAGGTTAGTTAGAGTTCTCTCCATGCGATTTGCAATGATAAAATTATTATCGATATAATGTAGGAGTACGTATATATTAAATTTAAATTTACTTCAAATCTTACAGCTTTTACTACATACGTACATATATGTATGCTGTTAAAAATTACAACATTTCTTTAAAAAAATAATATTTATCCATACAATTAACCTACCGCATGAATAATACATAATGTATGAATGAAAAATGCAAAAAATATAATTCTATGTTACGTTTTTAAAAATTCTCGTGTATTTGTGTACCAACAGATTTAATTTTTCCTTATTTAAACGTCTTGAATGTGCAAATGGTATATAATGTTACAAGATTATGTAATCATCTTCGTTTTATTTTAAGGATATTACTTTTGATTCTATAAAAATAAGTGCTTGAAATACATTTCAAATTCATCTGTTAAAATTCATATATTCACTGTTTTCACTTTCAGTCACAAAATAGCTGTTGTAGGTAAGTGTTTACTATATTTTCCTCTTTTGCATATTTTTCTTCTTTCTTTACTAAAAAATGTATTTACATAACATATATTAAAAACTATACATTAAATAGATTGGTAGTAAGTTAATACTAAAATAAAATTATTTTAGAATGTCTTTCCCAAATAAAGACGAACGAACAAAGTGTTGGAATTATAGGGATGAATATTGGAAGTGTCTGGATACCGGTAAATTAGATTCAGAATGTAAGAAATACAGAGAAGAATATGAAAAATTTTGCCCCGCATTATGGGTAAGTTTTATGCAATAGATAATATTTTTATAAACTTATAATAAATATTAGTACTTGTACTTTTGTTCCGATAGTGCATAACAAGCAACAATAAGAAATAATCTATAATATTACTATACAAAATGTTGTTCTGTTTCTAATTGAATCATCATTTCTATAACTTTTTACTAGGTAAAACACTTTGATCGTAAGCGAGAGTACTTGAAATTCAAAGAGCAAATAGAGCAAGGGGGGTATGTTCCTGGACAATCAAATCCAGCATAACTCTAATTTAGTGATTACAATTTATAAGTTACCACATTTGAACTAATAGTTAATGAACTGTTTTCAAATTAAGTTTTCTTATTTTTGTTATAATAAAACAAATGCTTAAAAGTAACATGATATTGTTTTCTTATATTGTATGAAAAATCCTTAATCCATTCTATTAGGCAGAATTGATTTTTTTGTTTTTCAAGTATTTGGCATATGGAAAATTTTAAACAGAAGGCTAGTTTCATGGCTGCTAAATAATATGCTTATGTATATTTAAACCAATAATTTTTTATATTTTGAACTTCTTAAATTCATTTATGGCTTTGCAAGAATTAATTATGTTATAATTATTTTTATAATCGGTGTAAAATGAAATTGTTAAAAAGCAATATTATTACTTGTTAATTACAGAACATGTAGCCTTGATGGGAATAAAACAGAAAAATCTGATGCACCTGCACAGCTTGCTACAAAAGCTACTTTTGATTTTCAAACAACAAATACCAATTCGTACGATTAGGGAACAAGAGCATAAGCATTGAATTAAAGCGAAAAGAGTGTAACTTCTGTCTCTGAATTATAGTAAAATGTGTACAAATAGTATGGAATTAAATTATTTAATCAGAGAACTGGAAACATGTACAGAAGACACGGTTATTTTCAGAGTTAGTATATTTCAATATAGTGACATTTTAATTTTGATTGTAATAATTAATGTCCATTTTCTTTATATTTGCAAACTTTTATTTCTTTACCTTTTCAGAAACTAATAAATTATGCTTCGTCGCATAAACAGCCATGGAATAATGAAAATTTGAAAGAATGGCAACCAGTTCTTGCGTACATTCTACAAACTTTTATTCCAAACACAGAAATAGGAAGAGAAAGAACCTTGTTAGCTTCCCACACATTTTTTGCTTTACTGTCAATGCAACCTACTTTGGTTCTATTGAAAGATACATTAAATGATTTTTTAAAGTGTAATTCCAATGAACTATACTTTTTGGATGAAAAATATGATACTATCAAGCCTGAATTATTTCAATTAATTTGTGCTTATGGATATTTACAAGTAAATTGTAAAGAAATATACTCCGATGATGATGTTTGCGTTCTCATCTTGAATGTTGTATATGAACATTGCATAAAATATACTAAACATTCTTATTTCGCGTACAAAATATTGTACTTGTGGTTACGCAGAACCATGGATACAGATTTTTGGAATACGTGTGACATAGTAATAGAGCAAAAATTAGAAGCAATTATTTTTTCGAATTGGTGTAATGCTATTAATGAAATAAGTAAACAAAACTCAACATCCGTTTTTAACATGTACCTGAAAATTATGGAGGAAAAATACAATGGATATCTGGAATATGTATTTAAATATTGCGTTGATAAAATTTCTTGGCAGAATGAAATAAAATACGATATACTTGCAGAAATTTGTCAAGTTTGGGATAACGTTAAAATTATGACATCTCATGACTTTTTATTTTCCGTATCTACGAGTTTGACGAAACATTATTTGCGCTCGGCAGGCACAAAGGTTTATATTGCTATTATAAAGAAATTAAGCGAAGATGAATGGAAGGAAACATTCGGGCACATAATAAATTATCTTTTTCATGATTGGGGAACAATGGAAAAGTGAGTTTACTTGTAGATTGATATATGTGGTAATACAACAAGTTAAAATTAAATATGGATTTTTAACTACTTTCAGTACCAGTCACAATGATCTTCAGTTTCTTTGTAAATATTGGCTTGAACCAATCGTTAAAAAGTACAGAAACATTTTACCATACTTATGGGATTTGACCAGGGATATAAATGGACTTTTTTTATGTTCACATCTTCAAAGAATGGCTAGCGAAATGCGTATTGATCTTCCACAACAACCAAAAATCGAATGTTATATAAATCACAATGAGGAGATTATAAGATTAAATGGTTTTGCAATAAATTGTTACCAAGTAAACAAATTTTACAATGAAAACAGAGATCAGTTTTATGCAATAAGAAGTTTCTTATGGCATAATGCAAATGCTACAACAGTGTATATGAGAGATGGCATTGTCAAATATTTTAAAATACTATATGCCAATGTTTTAAAGATGTGCGACGCTAAATCAGATTGCATAGATGATGTATATTACATTACACATTGGTTGCATGAATTTCTGTTGGATTGCTTTGAAATTGGCTCCTGTTATCAACGAAAAATACTTGGTTTAAGTTTATATAGAGCCATACTGTCTTTTAGCAATGGGAATGGATTAAATAAATCCCATAACATTGAAAATACGTCTTGTACTTTATTGCTGCAAAAGCATCTGAAGGCAACTGGAAACTGGAAGTTCACGAATAAACAAAGCTTGTTTGCTTTGTTAAAACTTGTGTTAGACTCTGCAACTGATGTCAAACAACTAAGTACTTTTATTATCGTTAATTATTTTGACAAGGATGTTTTAACTAATTTGGAGAAGCAAGTAAGAAATATTCGCTTGTAATTCACATTTAAATCTTTTTTTAAAAAATCTAATTAGATACAAAACATTTATTTAGGTATTATACCGAGTGGCATTAAAACGTTGTAATTCTTCTAAATTTTATGAGATCGAAAGCGGTGCTGCTTTGGTATCAATATTAGCAAACTGGGTACCTATAAATATTTTGGAAGGTACTATTCTTGCAGTATGTGATAAAAATGAATACAGGAATTGTAATAATCGCTCGAGGTATTCAGATTTTTTGCTTAATGAAGCTGCAAGTCAATTAACGCAAATGAAAGAAGATATACTAAAGGCAATTGTTCAGAATAAACCGTTTTATGGCATGTTAACTGCTTTATTAAATATTGTGTTTAAAAGTGGCCCAGAAAGTTGTTGTTTAACTTCAGAATTTGTTGAAAAAATATTACATCTATTGAAGGATGCTACAGATTTTTTTTTGTCTGTACTTTCATCAAAATCTGAGAACAGAGGTATATAAATGTTTGATTTCAAGAATTTAGAACACGTAAAATGTGTAAAAAATGTTTCCTTTTGAATCAAGACGTAATTCAATTTTCAGAATATTCATCTTCGTTTGCGGAAATGGGATTAGCAATTAACGAAGTGATTAAAAATAGCGAAGTTAACAGAATTAATTTCGACGAGTTAAATTTAACTCCTGCACATCAAGTTCTCATTTCTTGTATTTGGATGTCCTTAAAGGTAAAGTTCTGATTTTTGTTATGCAATTTTGACCGGCAAGAAGCAAAATTAACAAAATCTATTTCTTATCCAGGTCACTTGTGAAATAGCTTGTGAAATAGGAATATTAATGTATTCGGATGAAATTGTCGAATGTTCTACCGATATTATTGTTGCTATATTACTCAGGTGTAGACACAAAGGTGTAGTGGAGTCTGCTGGTACAGCAATAGGACATTTAACTAGGTATTATATAATTTCAATTAAAATTTTAATTAAATTAATTAAATTAAGTTCTAATTGAGGAAAATTACAAATTGTAGACGTTTATGCAAAGAAACTAAGTACTGTGACTTACCTAAAACGCACATATTGCGTATCTTAGAAAATTATGCGATGCATTCTTTAAATATTACCAGAAGAGGTGCAGGATTATCGATAATGTTTCATAAAATTGTTGTCAGTGATAATAGAAGAGATAGACCTCTTCTACATTTTGCAGTACAAAAATTGTTAGACTTGTTGGACGATTTCTCAAATGCTTCTCTAAACAGTGTAGAATTTAAACACGATTCTCCGTGGGCGAGACATTTACACTTTTTGTGTACCTTGGTAGCCGATAAAGAAATACGTGCACAGTTAATTCCACATATGCAAAGGATTTCGTTGACTTGTTTTAAATACCTGGAATCTGAAATATGGACTATAAGGTAATACTGAAAGTTTCTATAGAGATGTAAATTAAAATTAACTAAAACTAAACATAGAAGAACTATAAAGATTACAAACTTTTTTTAGAAACGCAAGTCTACAATTGTTCGGTGCAATTGTTCCAAGACTGGTAGGTCAAAGTTATGGAGAAATTTTAGACTTTGGAAACGGTTACCCTATTGACCACTTTGTCACACACTATCCTGTACTCGCAGATTACGTTATAAAAGAGTTGCACACTTTTTCGTCTACGTTCATGAACTTTTCTACCGCGTTATATTTACATTCAAATATTGTGCACATTCTTATTCTTCTTTCAAAGTTTTCAAGCAGCGATTGCAGCTTGATCGGCTATTCTTCGCAGGAGTTTACATCAAAGGCAAAGTATTTACTTCGTACTTTGTTTCTAAATCCCGTTTTATACGTCAGACTCCTAGCTGCGAAAGCATACGCAGCATTGACAGACTTTTTGAGTATTGAATCGGAGATTACACAATTGAAACGCGACGTTTCCTCGAGTCGTAATGTTAATTTGATACACGGCTATTTATTAACGATGAAATATTTGAAAGAAAAGCTATCGATTGAAGCTGACAATATAAATTTACAATCAAACTGTATACAATATACGATCGATGAATCGGAACAATGCGTAGAATTGTTACGGTTTCGAAAAATATTACGAATTTGGAGCAATATGGCCGAAAAGTTAAATAATCCACAAATATGTTACATGTTAGAAGTATTATTTTTACAACTGTCAGAATCTATTTCTGATCAAATACATATTACGGATATATTTCTTTTTGATCAGAACGTGGCTGTATTATCGTCTGAGAAGATAAAGCCAGGATTCTTCCAATTTGTCGATTTATCTATGAAATTATATGCAGACCATGTTAAACGTACGAATAGCATCGACTGTGGTATTCTACATAAAATTTTAGACTCTTGTTGCATTAATCAAAGTACTTCTTTCTTAAATTACTTGGGTTACTGCATACCAGTTCTAAAATGTGTTCTTACTCGTTTATTATTGAACGAATATGATTGTAACGAATTGCTTCTGAATGCAATGGTAAATTACGTTCTGAGAAATTTAAAATATTTCCCATTGTCGCATATTAGTGAATTACATATTGAGAAATTTTTAGATAATTTATCTTTTCAAACAGAAGAAAGTGAAACGTTCTCCAGTTTCTGGCGTTTGAAATGCGTGCTAGTAGTAATGTTTTCTAAGAATGAGACAATTATAAGTAAAATATTATCCGATATTTTCGACTTATGTATTCACGAAGAAGAACATATGAGACAGATGGCAGTTGAATTTATACAGTTCTCAGTTCGTCGCTTTACAGAACTAACAAACGAAAATCAACTAACGATTTTGTATTGCTGTTTAATTTTGTTGAAGGATGAAATTTTAGAAATACGTCAAGTCATTGCGGAGAGTTTGAGAGCACATGTTTTACAAATAATTAACATCGAACGCGGTAATTCGAAACACACTGAATACATATATCAAAAACTACTGTCCGAAATTATATTCGATCGATCGAAATCTGCCACGAATAAGAACACAAATTCATTCTTTGTAAAACTGTTCACGCACAGTATTAAAAACATGGACGTCGACGCAACAATTGAAAATCCCTTCTATCACGATGATAATCCTTTTTACAGGGAAGAGTCGAAGTTTTTAAATCTTTGTTTTTATTACATAGTACGAAATAAGTACAGTTCTAACAAGTGCTCTATAGAAAATTCCGCGGAACGCAATGACGATGATGTCATTGATGTCTTGAGTAAAAATGGAACGAAATATCAACTCCAAGAAAAATGTCTCGATTCTACTAATTTAGAAGTTTTCTTAAATACTAAATGCATAGATTATTTATTAAGAAAGCAAAGAATTGTAATACAGGAATACGACTAATAAAAATAATGTACAATTGTAATTTGAATAAACTATAAGCAATCATGATCTATTTTATAATTAAAAACTAATAATTATTATTAAGGTGTCCCGAAATAAATGCTTTGTAACTCGTCAAAGTACACAAGAGATATTTAATAATCCTGAATAAATACATCTGTACACCTTACGGACATAAGAATGTGTACACATTCACAAAGCTTATAACTTTATATTTACATTATACTACATTAATCGTATCAGAATATTAGAAAATTTTGAACGATCATAGAATATATATTACACATTGCGAAATACTCGTTCTTTCCATCGTATCTACAGTTTGCACCGTTGCGCGATATTAAATATAATCTAGTGAATTTGTTGTCGTGACATCTTTCAAGAAATTACATTTCTTTAAACCCTCGCCTGACTCCAGATCGGGGAGGGGGTCATTTTGACCCCACTGTATTGAACAAGGGTCAATGGTCGAGCTAAGTCATACGAATTAAAACTATATCGTGTGGCATCGACGTGTTCGATGATGCATTGCTCCAATAATATCATGAAAAGAAAAATATCGGCGACGTATAAAATTACAAAAATTCAATTTGAAAATTATTCAGGTATTAAGCAGATTTCTCTATTTGAAGAAACTTTTATTCGCTAATTGCGCATCGTCCTTCGCTTAAATGCAATTTTTAATTAAATAACAATTGAAGAAAGAAGATGCCATTTGCGTGAAAGAAAGAAGTTTATGCAACAGAGTATTCAAAGGCAGCTTCTTTCTTCAATCTTACGCTATTCAAACCTTATACCTAACAATATAATTGAACACTACGCCGTGCTTCACGCGTATGAAACAATTACACATACTAAGACCTATATGATTTAACGAAGAATGTAATGAAAATTGATCAGAGCATAACAGATTACATTGTATTAAACGATTCGAAAAGTTACTTCATATTAAGGCAATAAAGTCAAATAATTTTCTACGTGTAGGTACAGTTCACTAAATATTCAAATTTTTTTACAATTGTAAGGGTATCGTTCAAATAAAATAATTTGTAGGGGGGGAAAAAGAACACCGAATAATTTGCTATCCGCGTCTGATCGTAATATATTTGCATTTGAATTTGCAAACTATTCGTTCGACCAGATAGTCCTAGCGACTATTTGATCCATCTTTGTGATATGTCGCTAACGATTACATTAAATTTCTTTGGTGATCATTTCTATTTACATCAAAGTATGTTTATATAGTAATTGCTAAGGAGTGCCTCCTAATCTGACAATCATTTTAAAGGAATAACATCTTTCTGACAAAGAAATCGTGCACAAACGCTTGCGAGTGTTTTTATTTATTAACATTAAGTAGTCGATACTACCTAGACAAACATTAAACTAACAGTATTATTACTATTGCTATTAATAGTAAATGTAGATGTACAATGTGAAACTACAATTAAAAATCACACATATTTGAATTTTCACATTCTATCATAAAGCAGTGAAAATTATTGGAAGTCAATGGTTCTTAAAAATATTTTCCAACAATAATTGTTTCATTTGCTAAATTAAACTCTATCGATTTCACATGTAATTTGTTAAAAATTGCTTTCATATACAATTGGATTTAGGTTGGCTTTAATGATCAGTAAAGACGAATCGAAGTAATTATTATTTATCTATAATACAGTTAACACGAAGTCTGAATTTTTAGAACAATTGACGCGATTAAATGATTTCTTGAAAATAGATTCAGTGAGAACATTTTTATCATTCTAAAATTATAACTATATCAAGATGTAAGCAGATATATGCGTTTTATATTCGTTCGAACATGTAACATTGTAAGAACAACAAACTATTTTGGGAAATTTCTTTGAAAGTATTTTTTTTTCTTGTACGTGTGAGGAGAACTTGCCCCGTTAAAATTATTCAATATATTTTTCTATTATAAATGAGATACTCCTCTATATCGGAGTACAAAAACTTGTGCTCGTTATTATATAAGCACCGTTATTTAGCAATACGGTCAATTTTAATATATATATATATATATATATGTGCTTTTGTTACATAATTTTGCATAATACAATAGAAATATTCAGGAACCATTATTTTTTTTTTTATACAACTGGATCAAGTACGTAGCAGTAAGCCACAAAAATATATTTATTTTCCTTAATCTGATATTTCTTTTTTTTTTTTTTTTTGCAGCACGATTTTCAACCCCTCAAATTTGTTATTCTATAAAATTTGTAAAAGAAATTCACACTGTGATGTATCATGATAAAATATTACAATTCTTTTCTTAAAATTTGAATGAAACTGTACCTTTTCATTGAGCATTATTTCTCTAGCAGATAGCTTATTTAACGCAATCGTTGCAATTCCATATTTTAAATAAAATAATTTAGCAACGAATGTGTTAAACCTTTTCCTTTCAATCTTCTGTTTCGTGTAATCATAATCAATAATTTCAACCATTTAAAAATCGACAGATGCATAGAAACCTTTTTTCCCTCGTCATTTTGTTTCTGTATAGAGTGGAAGATTGTCTGACTCACGGCAAATTTTAACGTTATTATAGTTTAAAGGTACACACGGCAGTTTGGTATAAAGAGACGCGAGGAGAGAGAAAAGAAAAAATATCTCTTTAACTTGCAACCTTGTGTTCCTTAAACCTTTTTTGTACGCCCAGAAATGCATAGGCACGAATACAAGAATTTCCATCCGGCACCAAAATCTTATATAACTACACGAAGAGTATTAAAATTATTTTGAAAATATTCTACATAAATTAAATGTAAATAGTGGTTGTTTTCATTTATACTTTTCCCCCCTTATCTGTATATTTCAAATTCCGTAACGTAAACAATTTAAATTTCTTAGAAACTCTCTCTAAAAACAATTAAATATAGAAGGAATAAATTGACACAAAATGCATGCAAAACTTGAAATCGATACAAACGTAGCAATATTACAGCGGCAAAACTTTACAATGGCTAGTGAATATTTGAGCACGGGTAAAAAATCGTTCGAGTAATGAAATAGTCACAAGATACCTTGATTATCCGCATACGAAACTGTCATTTTAATTCTCTGGCGTAAAAATTGTTTTGTTTATAGTTGTTACCAAGCGATATATGAATTTCTTAACGTTGGAAACGATGAATTTTTTTTTTAAACATTTTTACAATCTTATTGATTCTTCATCCATTATTAATGAATCTTCCCACATTCGAAATCAGTAATTTCTTTTTGTTTAAATTACTTTCATTAGTCAAAACGGAACATTTTACGTTCCACGTATTGTATACCTAGAAATATTATGTGCTACAGAGTACTCACCAAAGAAATAACTAATATGCATCCATAATTACATACATACAATGTATATTACTGAAAATGCTTATACTTGTATTTGGATGCATTAACTTAACGAAATTTACACATTTTCTAAAAATGATACGCTAAATGTCTTTAATGGAACACCACTTCTATCGGATTGCTTAATAAAAAGTCCCATCGTTTTAGATAGATACAAAATATATCATACACTAAACATAACGCTAGCTGAATACATTCACACGCTTTCTTCCGTATCAATTCATCCATATGTTCATTGTATGAATCGCCGTACTACGCACAAGTTGAACAAAAATTCTTTCTTGCACTTGGTATTCGATTAAGGAGAAACGTGTACAAGATTTAGTCTAACAAGTGGTGGAACCGGGGAACGAGAGACCGAGAGTGCAGCGTGGCGTCATGGACGCAAGCTAATGTTTTTTTAGATGACGTCAATGCGTCTGTCAAATTCTATCGTTCCGAGTTCATTAACCTTTCTATCGGTCGGTACAAGATTCACTAATGTCAATCCCAAGCTATTCACAGAGCGTTAAATTGAAATCCCTGGTGCCAAGCTGCACACGAGAGTACCTCTCTCCACCATATCTACGAGGACAAATCAGCCAAGGAAACGCACCGTGCCGTGTACAACGTAGTTTTAAGCTTTGTTTAATGTTCATTTAGTTTCTAATCATTCGTTCTGTTTCGTTTCCGTTGTTCGTATTCAACCCTTGTTCAAATAAACATTATTCCTAATGTAAAATCGCACTACCATAATAGCAAAGCGATACAACAACAGAACAAAAGAAATATAAATTGTAAAATGAATCGTGGACAAATACCTTCTTTTTTTTTCTGATATTATCGATTATCAAAGTGTCTGTGATTATTCTTGTCACGTTTGGTACTCAATAATATACTCATTTGTTATTTAGCTGTCTGTCCAAGGCCCACGGATGATTTCGTTTTTTGAGATGATTCCGCTGTTTCGTTTGGCTGATCAACATCCATCTGAAACACAAATATACGAGGAATTTAACAATGTATCTTACTTAATATCGTTAATTAATTAAACCGAAGATGTTTTTTACTTACCTTTTCTTCTTTTTCGTCGTCAATCAATATCGGACCATTTTCAGCTTCGTATTCTTTTAAAACCGCGTCCAAGTTATACCTCCGACGATAATTAACAAAAAATGATCGCAAATGAGCTTCGGTTTTGGTTCCAATCACATCAGCGATCGCGGAGAAGTCTTTTCCGTACTTTCTGACGCCCTGAACGGCTAATAATAATTCATCGTTTGTCCAACGAGCGTTTATACGGCTCGATACTTCCGGTGGTCGCAAATCATCAATACCGTCAGTCGTTTTACGTTTTAATGCACTTACTTGTTGTTTGTTCGACTGTATCTGTGCGTTGAAAAAGAAAATCGTTCACATAGTAAATGCAGATTTTTACTATTAAGCATTAAGATACGTAAGTAATTAAAATATTTTCGAAAAAATGTATCCACACGTTTGTTGTTGTAAACGCATTAATCTTGTTTAAAACGTACTTGGCGTTTTAGGCTAACAATTTCAGTGTCGATTGCTTGTAAACTGTTGTTTGCTTGATTCTGTTGACCAGCCAATGCTGCTAAATCATCGTGATTAACGACCAGGCCGCGAGGTGGTTTTCTTTTATTTGTACGACCTGGCATGGAACTTAACGGCCTTGCTACACCGGTTCGCCTAAATCATTTGAATAAGTTTGCAATGTATTTGACTGTTTTACTGAAGGATGGGTCTGATCTACGATATACTTTGATTTTATAAGAGAGGACAGGTATTATGAAATGCAAGGTTCTGCGAAAACGTTAGCTGGTGCACTGATAAGAATGCTCATATATCTACGAAAATAACGTACTGAGTGATACGAGTGCTATACAGTGTTATATATTTAAGGATGTCTAAAGATCATGATTTGTGCTCTTGGTATATTGTTATAATAAAATGCTTGTATGAGCATTCTTATTTCGAGGAAAGGTCCGATTATCGTTTAATTACTGATATTTAATTTTACTTGCACTCACTGACCTCCAGTGCAGATAGCAGCTGTGACACGCGTGTCCTTTCGGCGTCGCACGAACACTATGACAAGCAACGCCACAGTTGCTACACGAGCCCTACAACACATAATACCCTTTTTAAAATAAAGTCCGATAAACCCCCCCCCCAACCCCCCTCCTCCCCCCGGCCCTCTCCCTCCATTTGAATTCTTCAACATGTAACTAAACTATAAATCTCTAGGAGTGATTCTTTTTACAAAACAAAAATATTGAAGTATGTACAAAAGCATAATATTGGAAACTCTATCTGTACGCATTGATTCGGCCTGCCATACAAAATCAGAAGCACTGAATTTCTGTATTTGTAACACAGCTCCGTTATAATATATTCAGGCAATGGAGACTCAATCTCTCTTGAAATTAATAATATCGCGACACGTGGTTATATCTTTCTAGGAGAAAATTCTGCTCTTCAATACTTTTTCCTCGGTAAGGTTTCAGCCTATCGAATCTGCTAACACATAGATTGCCTCTGTACATGATTTTGTACTTAAATTTTTCTTTCGTTTCGTCACTATCTTTTTTGTTAAGACAAAAGAATTTATACGACAGAGAGAGAGAGAGAGAGAGAGAAATAAATATGAGACACAAAATAGCAAAATATAATAAGCATATGCAACTGGGTAAGGTTTAGGCTGAGTACCTGAACCTGAGGGGCGTTTTCCGAGTCGGACGGGGCTTTGGCGTCAGTGCCTTGGCTTCCTGGCACAGCTTGGTTCTTTCCACGACGTATTCCGCGGTGGATCGTCCATTTCTGGAACGTCCCACATTTACGTTCACACACGATACAACGATAACGCAAATAACTTTAGTTTCGCATGATTAATGCGAAGTTGACTTGGTTTTCAAACAGTTCGGAAACTATTTGCACGCATCGTATTACGAAATACGTGTACGCACCAAGTGTTAAGAAACGAAAATAATATATATATATATATATATATATATATGTCAGCTTTATATATCGTTCGAGTTAGAATTTTCTTACGTAGACGAATTCATTTTATATTTAATTTTTTATTTTCGGTTCTAATGTTGTTCACCAATTGTAGATCAGTGGCCTTGTTATATTTGTTTCATTCACCGCATGGAATACGTTACCGTGTGGATACATTTTTTTTTTTAAACGCATATAACTATTTGCACATTAAACATGTGTGTCTTTAAAGCCAGTGCCATGGCATTAAGATGCAGCGAAAGGAGAACACTACCACACGCAACAGCATTAATGTTAATTCACTTAAAATAAAGTAATTCCATGGAGAAATAGCAAAACAAAATGAAAACATAAAGCTCTAAGGTTTATAAAAAATTAAACAAGCGACTAAAACGAATTCGTTATTCTTTTCTAGCGAATAACAATCTTTATAGATGCTTTGTAATAATGTATATGAATTTAATTATTGTTTTACTAAGAGAGAGAGAGAGAGAGAGAAACTGATGGTTTCGCAAAAATCTAGTGCATGCGTTTGTTAGATATTTTTTTTAAATATCTTACTTTTTCTTCTGATTCGCTGTCTGTATTGGAACCTAATTCACTTCCGTTTTCGCTACCATTTTCACCTTCTTTTCCGCCGCTCGTTAATTTTCTTGCTTGCCTATCCATTAACGATGTTCTAGTTCGTGTTTTCTTCCAGCTGTAATAGTATTTGACCAGACTGGCTATAGATTTATCAGGTAACTGAAAACATACAATTCAAAAAAATATTACTTCTCCGAATAAAAATAATATGAAATTATGACAAAATATAACTTTAATAGTATATTTAAATTTAGACTGTGGACCAGTCATTTATATACTAGTCTGTTATACTGTACAGTAAATCGTATCATCATTAAAACTATTACTAGAATTCAATAAAGGTAAAAATTTAGTCCAGAACAAGTATCAGTTTAACCTTTTATTGCATGAATTTTATTTTATCTTTCAAAAAAGAACTTATTTCTTGATTATTTATACATCATGAATTTTATTGGGTCCCCATTTGGCACATTATGCAGTAAAGACTTAAAAAACACAAATATATTTTAAACATTTAAGACATTTATATTTAAATTTATTCTTTTTCTAAATTTTTTTGCAAGCAACCGATAATCGAATTCTTGATATTATAATTTCTCACGATTAAGAACTATGTCCGGATATCTCTCTCTAAATTATACTGTGAGCCTAAAAAACCCTCTTTTAAAGTGTGTTATAAACTTAAGATTAAGAACCACTGTTCCGGGCAATGGATCCTACCATTTGTCGAATACGGTGGAAACTTTTTCCATGAAATTGAAAAGCTTGTTCAAAGAGAACTTTATCCTCGACCGTCCATTCATCTGGGAATGGTGTGAAATTAGCCAAGTCCAATACAGCGCGTTCTAAGTTATGTTTATGCCAAAATAACATTCCCAATGCTTGTTCTCCGTTATAACCATATTTTTCCTTTGCCAATATAATATATTCATCCACTGTAACAAAAAAATCATTTTCTTCAGCAACTAACATACTGTTATATTTAATTTGCAAATGAAACAAGTAACGACGAATAATTCGATGCTTACATTTTTGGTCAGGTATGTCAGTAGTAGGAGACCACACTAGGAGCGCTCTATCAGGGCATTGATCTAATCGTCGTTCTAAAATATAAAGTTTACAATTATAGAAGTTAAAATACAATTGAATACCATTTTTCACCCTTCAAAAGGAAAGTTACAGTACGGATGTAATAAAATATTTAATAATTATTAAATAGTTAATAACATTACAGCAACATACCATTAACTGGAACAAACTCGGGAACAATAACTTGATAGTCCCTCCCAACGCGTATTTTCTCTGCTGGAACTTTAAAAGGTAATGATTTTTAATTTGCACGAAAAATCATAGTTATTGCATGACTAATAAATAAAATCTTTACTCGTGTTACAAAAATTTCAAATCAGTCCAACCAAAGAAGAAGCAAATCACCTTTGTTTTCATCTAATTAATACATGTAATGCGATATTTATGAATAATTTAGACATTATTAATTTATATTAATGCATAAAATATTCAATTATAGTTTGTAGATTTCGATTCAAAACTAAAATATGGTTTGGTAAGTCGTACGAAAGTAAAAGTTGAACAATCTCATAAACAAATTATTCAAATTCATTTCATAATAATATCCGCAGGAATTGGTTGGAAATGCGAACAACTTAAAAAGAGGAAAAGTGGGGCGCGCTGTTTGAAGATCCTTACGGATTTTCGCGTACGATCAATAGAAAAATATATAGGCTTCCAAATAAAAATTTAGTTTTTGAGGTTCCTTATACTTACAATACATCAATTAAACCATCAATCGAAAAAATTGAATTAATTATAACGATAATTTAATTGCAATATGAAATTGGTACCTCCGTCTTCTTCGCTCGAGGATTCGGATTGTCCATTGGGGCTGGGGCCCCTTGATCTGCGCCCATTTCTAACATTTTCCGAGTTCCTTTCCGCCAAAACCATGTTACAGCTTTTATTTAGTGAATATTTTATCGAATTATTACGCCAGCGAAGCCTCTTTAGCACGGAATACCCACGAAACCTGCGATGCAAGCGGTAGCTTGCGATTACACGGTACTCCGTAGAATCTAACTCGCGCTTCGTGCGACCGTAGCGAAAGTAAAATGGCCGCTTATTGAAAGTGATCCGATTGGACAACGATTTACTAAGTAAAGATGGCGACGTAGATTTTCAATGTATTTCGAAATTAATTGCATCTGGGGGAACCAGTTTTTCGTTAATCCCTTTTCACCCTCATGGCTGCGTTTTTCCATTCCGATACAATTAAATTATTTAGATAGAGATGTATTAAACTTTCTATATTAAAAATAACGAGATTCTAAATTATTCATGATATCATTGCGTTAATAATAAATAATTGTAAAACATGTAATAATATTTTAAATCAACTACAAAGTTGTTTTTGATTATTGTAATACGAATGATACTTTTATTTCTGAAACGCGATCCGCTGTATAAAATTTATGAGTATTTTAATTATTTCATCATATTCAATGAAGCAAAATATGTATATACATGTGTGTGCGAGGGTGTGTGTGTGTGTATGTGTACATTGTATATGTATATTTGTCTCAACGATATATTTTTATGATTGCATTTGTAATGCCCAAACTAAAATCCTAAACAAGTGACGACGATGTTAATAAACAAACGACTTGAAGTTATGTAATTGGAAAAAGCACGAATTTGAAAACAATTTTAAACTAATACTTTCAAATACACACTTGGTACTTGATGCTACTGTACTCATTTTTGTATCAGATTATACCTTTATTTTATGACATACGTAAAAGAATAAAAAGATTAATAAATAATATATACATACAATAGGAAAAATTGTGATTATAATTTGGCTCAAGTTGTATCATGATCAGTAAAATGTAGCATAGAAGCAGATTGAAATAACGAGACATCGATATATCTTATACATTGATGATGTCACGAGGTATGGTCGCACGAAATATATTTGAGAATCTCTCGCAGGCAACACCAATTTCTATAAAAATATTGTACAATTTTAAATATAAAGGCATAAGAAGCAGAAATATAATTTATGATAAGGCTGAATTTACAAATAAGCTTGATTAATAAGGATTATGAACAATATTAAACTTAAAGTAAGTCATAACCTCAATTCTACGGTTTATGCGAAATGCTCTATCGTCGAGAGGCGCCACTATCAAGCAATCGCAGTCTCTGATAGACTTTGCCGTGTAAGGAACTTTCGTCGCCTAGCTAATGTAAATATTACATTTGTTGAGAATTTAGAGTTTATTTTAGCGTATATAAGCCCGAAATTATCGTTCACGTTCCCCGTGCAATTCATTGCTCGGCGTCATTCCGTAATATTTCTCATCTAGCCGAGATCGGCAATAACCAAAAAATCTCTCCGTAGGTATTCTTTTTTTCTTTAATAATCGCTGATCCTTTTTCTAACATTTCGTTTAAGTCAGATTTTATGTTTCGCCTTATTCAGCCTTGTGACATTCCCGAGGAAAATCCAGATTCTATGGAGATCGTTTCCGGATTTCGTGACATTTACTGTGTAGAGTAGTACAGTGATTAATTTTTGTTCACCAGCCAATTGTTACACCTATTAACAAGTTAAAATGAATATCCGGTGTCCTTTTCATCTCTGTCTCCTGTGCAACTTTACTTAAGGGAACAGCGTATGATTTTCTTTTCTCTAAAACATGCTGAATCAAGGGAGAACGAAGGACTCAGTTTTTTTTCAATTTCCTTAGGGAATGTTGCTGCCTAAATTGTCTTATTTATAAGTTAGACTGTGCAAGAAACAGACGTGCGTATGTATTTCATAAATTTAATTTTGGCTTAATGTATACTCACTGGCAATGTATACATATGTAATCTTAAATATCTTTACACACTCCTGCAATTATATTGTTTTTATTTCGTGTATTTCCTTATCCCTGACTCAAATATTTCTTAATTGGTATTTATAATTTGCTCCGATACGAATGTTTGGAATGAAAGAATTAATACGTGTGTATGTTCTTTTTTAGTTTGTTAATTTTGATGTGCATACATATTTATGTGTAATATCGATATAGTCGTGTAATTTGTTTACGCTGTTGTATGGAGTTATATGTGTAGCATTTGAAAGATAGTTTATATGATTTTATAGATAAATGTTATAATAATTTTAAAAGATTTTATTTATCAATAATGTAATAAAACTGTTTAATTTTTATTGATTTTTCAATAATTTTATTCCAGATGATTGTCTGAAAGAATATATTCAGATTTATCTGCACCCCAAGCTCCTGATATCTACTTCAAGAGACTTTTAGTGTAAAACAGAAACATGAGGGTTGTTGCACTAGTCAGTGGTGGTAAAGACTCTTGCTTTAACATGATGCAATGTGTAGCTGCAGGCCATGATATTGTGGCTTTAGCTAATTTATATCCCGTTGGAAAGGGTAAATTAATGAATATATTTATAATTATATACAAAACTAACGATAAAAAAAAAGAAGATATGCTAATCTATTTCAATATCTTATCTTTGATAAATGATAAGATACGATAAGAAACGAATGACATAAAAATTAAATGTTTTCCAGATGAGCTAGATTCGTTTATGTTTCAAACTGTTGGATATCAGGGTGTTGAGTACATTGCAGAAGCTATAGGCTTGCCAATGTATCGTGAACCAACATTTGGTAGATCAAAAATGCAAGAGAAATGTTATTATCCAACAGAGAACGATGAAGTTGAAGATCTCTTTAGGTTGTTGACTAAAGTGAAGGTAAACATATTTTAATATAATTGTTACAGGTTGAACATACAAACGATAAATTAGGATTAATCTTTCCTTATTATTTCAGGAAAAAGAAAATATAGAAGCTGTTTCATCGGGGGCTATTCTGAGTGATTATCAACGAATTCGTGTGGAAAATGTGTAATTATTTACTACAAATTTCTTTCTAGTTTCTTTTTACTTGAAATTAATAGACTGTAAAGTAAAAAAATATCAAACTTACATGTTGTTTAACACTCGGATGGCGGTACGGGATCCGTTCGGGTCCGTGATATTTCACTTTGATAATCTTCTGATTCTGGGTTGGCATCACTATGCGATGAACGTTTTTCATCGGATGAAATTTCACTGTCGCTATTGCCTTCACTATCTATCAGCTCGCGAAGAACTTGTTTACTTTCTGACGATTGTTCTTTCGTCCTAGACATCGTAATGTTACGGAATAATTACAAAACGATACAACACGTTCAAATAACGTTGATCTAAATTTGAACAAGGCCCAGAATACGACTTGATATTTAGAGGTCTCACAGAATACTGTCGATAAATACAACCTCTGAGCCGTGTTCGTTTCGTTATCGTTCTAACGTAAACACAAGGTACGTTGTGTCGAGTATCGAAGAATCGAGCGCTTATATATAGAGTGGGGTCCGAACGGACCCGGACGCCGCCGTCCGAGTGTTAAACATCAACAAAGATATCTAATAGTAAAAGTTCATTTTCAGATGTAGTCGTTTAGGTCTTGTTTCTTTATCGTATTTATGGAGACGAGAACAGGATGACTTGTTAAAAGAAATGATAGAAAGTTCTGTAAATGCAGTTTTAATTAAGGTGGCAGCTTTAGGCCTTGAACCAAGGCATTTGGGTAAATCGATCTCTGAAATGCAATCCCATCTTGCCAAGATAGTAAGTAAAACGTCTTGGTGATTAATTTGACACAAAACATTAACTATTTGAGTACTTCCTTCAATTTAATCCAACATTGGCAAGGTTCCCAAGTATCAATGGACTCTTACGAAATACCTGCAAAACAAATTTTAAATACATTAAATACATTGTTCGATAACGCGTGGGAATATTTATAACTTGTATCAATTGTTCGATAATTTTTTTCCAGAAAGAGAAGTATGGTGTAAACGTATGTGGAGAAGGAGGAGAATATGAAACGTTCACGTTAGATTGTCCATTATTTAGTAAAAGTATCGTAATGTAAGTCGAAAGATTTACTATAAATATGTATGGAAAATCGGTTAAATTTTGTTCCTATGAATACTTTTCTATTTTAGAGATGAATATGAAAGTGTAGTACATTCGAACGACAACATAGCACCCGTCGGATATTTGAACTTTAAAAAAATACATGTACAAGATAAAAATGTTAGTCAAAATATCTTGTTCTGTTAAAAATTTCGAATAAATTCGTACATAATCGAAGGGCAATTTTTTCAGGATGGCATGGAAAGATTAACGTTACAAGAGAGATTAAAGAATGTTCCTATTAAAATCCCAGCTGATTATATCGCAGAGATCATTGGTCCAGAATTGCAGGATGGTTGTAATCTATCGGAAGACGAGAACGATGAACACGATTGTATAGACAGTAATCTGAAAACGTCGAATTCTGGTATTCATTTTAAACAATACGATAGTATTTCGTTTTTCTTTTCAAAAAATTAATGGAACGCGTAAAAACAATGCAGGCCAGTTCAACCCACCGAGTCCTATGGAAATTTTATACGAGGAAGAAGATTATCCTGATATACCGGTAGTAAATAAGAATCAAACCGGCTGGTTCTGGTTTGGCGGTGTCGCTGGAAAGCATCCGGATGCGAAATCCGCGATGCGAGAAGCATTGGAGATATTAAGCAGTAGGTAAACTTTGAGTCTTTTAAGCCTACCTCTGAGTTAAGGGATTACGTCACCTTGGTGGCATAAAAACGGAAGGTATTTTTACGAATCTTTTTATAAAAATACTATGCTTTTAAAAAATATTTTTTATATTTACATCAGATACGAGAAAGTTCTTGATTCCAGTTCTATCGATGCTTGAAATTTAAAGTTTTTAATACACTGCATTATTATTTCTATACAAATTATCGCCACGAACTATGAGTTGAAAAGTTTCGATTCTTCTTCGTGAGGGTGGCGTAACCCATTAAACTGTTTTTTCTTCACGTAATAGCGATACACTCTGTGCTCGACGTAGATTGATAAGACATTGGTATCGACTGTCTAGGTCTAGTCAAGAAGGAGAATCTTCAAATATCGGACATCGTCGCCGTAACATTGTATATAAAAGACATGTCAAATTACGTATCTATAAACGAAGCTTACACCTCATGTCTGAGCAAAATAAATCCACCGGTCCGTATATGCGTGGAATGTCCGTTGAATGTGCACGTTGTGCTTGACGCTATAGCCTATAAAGAAACTCAAGACTGTGGTGATAAGAAAGTTCACAAACGACACACAATGCATGTTCAGAGCATAAGTCACTGGGCACCAGCGAACATTGGTCCTTACTCTCAAGCTGTTCGTGTGAGTGTACTACCGTTAAAAAAAGAAATTTGCGTGCACGTCTCTGTGTGTATATGTGTAGACAAAATGTGTGTATGTGCGCATTTGTACGCGCACGCACACACATCTGGTTTACAAAAGAGACACAACAGCGAGGCAAACAAAATAAAAGTTTTCTAGAATGACAATAAAATATTAACACGTTCACTGTCCGGCCTCTTTAAAACGAATATCAATTCCAGTCACGGACTGTGAACGTGTTAAATGCTTGATAAGTAACAGATGAACGTACAAGCCATATTTACTAATAATCCGTGGAGATTTCCAACTTGTGGTTAAAAATATAGACGTAATGGTAGAATAATTAAATTTTTGTTAACATCAAGAGTTACTGTAATGGTATAATAATTGTTTGTTAGGTGGGCGATATTATTTCAGTCGCTGGACAAATACCTTTAGTGCCTGGTAGTATGACTATTCTGGACTTGAACATTAAAAAACAATGTCGCTTGACATTGAGGCATATAGATCGTATCGTTAAAGCTATGGACTCAAATACGCAACTCAGGGACATTGTACAAGGTATCTGTTTTTTGACTCACTCTAGTTACATACCAGACGCACGAAAGGAATGGGAAAAACGAACAAATAACGCTATTGTGGACTACATTGTTGTACCGAACCTCCCACGTGGTGCTCAGGTCGAGTGGTGCGTTTGGGCTCATAGGGATAATAATAGGTTTGAATGTAAGTGTGGATAAAAAAAGGAAGAAGGTATGAGAAATTCCGGTATGACGATTCTATTTAAAAAAATATTTGTTTGTTTGCAGATGAAGAGACTGGAAAATGCGTAGGTAATTTCAAAGTAGCAATAAGGCGTAGGTGGAACTACGAGAACAATGTTTCAGCGATTGTATGTTACATGTCTATTGGTACATATTTTTGTATAAATATGCATCTACTTGTTCTCTTTGTAGTGAAATAAGGAAGAATGTGTTTTGAATAGGTTCGTCTAATTCGACTGGTAATTTAGCCACGGAAACAAATTTGCCCTCTACAGAACTGACTGTGAGCGAACTGACAGAGGCATTCGAGTACGTACTGTGCAAACTCACAAAGGGATCGCAAACCGAGAATCCGACCTGTAACCTACGGATCTTCTACAAGGTCGGTAGTTCGCCGGGGCCGAATTTCGTCCAGGACATGCTTTCGAAATTTTCTATGCGAAATCTAGTTACCACTATCGTACCGGCGACGCACTTACATAATTTCAGTACCTTTTTATCCATATGTGGCATCAGACACGAGTAAAGCCTAACATCGATGTTTACGTTGTCAATTATTTATAAAAAAAAAAAACAAAAAATTTACTGCGTCACTAAAGGATTATAAAGGGATTTTATTTGCCGTTTAAATTATTTCAATCAATGGGTTACAAGCCATATGACAAATCGATTTTAATACATATACAAAAATCATTTAACGGCTATATTGAAAGTTGACCACGGTTGTAAAACTTTATATATGTATATTCTAAATGATAATTATTTAGTAGTATCGGTGCTCGAATGTAAACGTTATTTTCACCTTTTCTACTGGTCGCGCTTATTGGGTTTGCTCAGAAATTCACTTGACACTTTGTCCATAGTGTATTTATATTCGGCTAGTCAACGGGACGTCGACGTGGATTTTGAATCGTTTTTTGTCCCGTTAGTGTAAGTGTTCTACGTAATGTAAAGCACGTTATGTCGTTTCATAACATGTACTGTATGCTACGCCTCGTTTTTTGCTCAAGCTATTTTTTATTTTTCACATATTTCACGATACGTGCGGAGTGTTAAATGTGTGATTTTATGAAAGAATTTGAACGCGTGCACAGCCATTTTTATAGTAGCGCTCAAAGGTAAACTGGATTTAAAGAGGGAAATGAAGGTGTTACCACGTATCAAACGTATTAGGGGCAAAGCTGTGAATTTTATCAGCGACGTGAGAAGAGTATTCAATTTATGTTCATTTTAATCTTTGAAAAAGATTAAACGATAAGCGGAAATTTGAGACGCGCACTCCTCAGCAAATTGTCCTCTTTCACTTTTTAAATGCTGCCGATATTATTCCGTTGTCATTCAAACTTTTTGTATCGTAATGGCAGAATATGTAGCTTTACAAAAATATCTATTTGGCAAAAAGTATTGTGCAAGTCCTCGGTAGTTATATTGCATATAACTGATCTATGCTTTAGGGATGTATCTTGTACAAAAAAGACAAAACAAAAAAAAACGATACGTATTGTATTAGAATATTTTTGACAGTATAACATTCATGCAACGATATACCAAAGTTCGTATTTTGCAACTTGGTCATTATTCAAACCATTTCAATACTGTCATCCTCTTTTTTCTGTACATATATTGCTAAATAATGTAAAACATTCTTGCAATGTATTATAAAGTGTAATTAGTTTGAAACAAGACAATTGGTTATCGGTTATGTGTGAATATTAAGGAAGATATGAATTTCTAACGACACGAGGAATAACGGAGCATACTGTTTACGACGTGGATATTGCGTTACTATAAATATGTAAAAAAAAAAAAAAATGATATTTGCAAGCATCCAACTCTCGCAACAAAATACTATTCCGAGGATTATATTGCGAAAGAAAAATAAAGAAAGTGATATATATTTTTAAGAAATTGCTACTCCGTTTTATATTTGATTACATTCCCTTCTAACCTCCTGATACATACATAGTTTTTAGATTCTGTTTTTTAAAGTTAAAAATTAATAAATTGTAGGATTGTTAACCTTTCTGTAAATGAAACTTATTGGCAAAAATTGTTATTTACTTAAGCATGTAACACATGGAAATATTAAAACAAAAAAACAGCACCAAATTATGTACACTTAAAAAGAAACGTTTAAAGATTATTATAGAACGTATATAATTCTGTAAAGCAGTCTTTTCATTGATTAGTTTTCTATTACGATTCGCAACTTTATCAATAATAAAGTAGAGTCAAGAATACAAACTTATTATACACATAAATTGTTTTTTAGTCGAACGTTGACTTTGCTTTGTTTTAAATTAATATGGGAAGACAACGAGTCATTAAAAAATTCTTAAATAACATAGGATTCAAAATTACAAAAATGAATTGGAATTATCAAAAATTATCATTAAATATTATAATAATATTAAAAGTGAAACTTTTTATATTTTAAGTTTTATACGCAGCCAATAATAGCCATCGTTTAGTAACAAAATTTCAATTTTTCAAATTGTTTATAATCATACAATTATGTACAGCCATATTTCTTCCATGCAAAAGATTCATAAGAAATCCTTCCATGATAACTGAAGCACTTAAATCTTCACAGACATTCACTGTTGGTACAAATAAAAATTCTCTAGTTTACCAAATTAAACTAACGCACGTTTCACATTTTACACAGTTCCTTCAAGTTTAAATAAAATTGTACAATTTGCAGTTTTTTTATGTTCTCAATGTTTTCGATACCAATGGCTTCACCACTTGTTGACGATTTGGTGCACAAAAATCACACAGATAGTTTTTCCTGTCTAATGGCATTCCCTTGGTCTCCACGCACCCTGCAAATTGACATCAGCAAAATTCGCTTTATTTACAATAACTTATAACGTATTTATATCAACACCGAACATATTTTCCATTTTTAACACTGTATCCTACCTGAAAATATTTACACGTATTTCAAATGCTCAAACAGTTGAGAAAAAAAAAAAAAAAAGAAAACGAAATGTTATATGAGACATGCAAATGTGATAACATGCAATGAAAAGTAAATGGCAGAATTATATGGAATTTGTGTTAGTACCTAAGTGCAGATATTTGTCACATGCGCTGCAATGCACTAGATTCGCTTCCAGGTCGAGTCTTGGGGCAGTATGACAGCGACTGCAGTGCGGGCAATAACGACCCTTTCGCCATAGCCTTATTATTGCATAAAGATCATGGGGTTAGTGAATATGAGTGGATAAGGACACATGAGAAGTTAGCATGAGATATCTAATATGATATTCTGAATCCTGAACCAATCGTCTTATACTTGTTTGCATACGTAATTGAATTGATCGATAAGAATACTGAATCAATATACCGAAAATGATTTCAAACCAGATTGAAAGCAAAAATAAAGGCTTGTTCAAAACTGCAAAATTGTCTTCCAGCACTTCTATTAATTATTTTATTATTGCATTACATGTAATTTTTAAAAGCCGAGGATTCAGATATTGTAATACTGTGAGCACGTGAAATTAGTTTAAATAACTCGGGGTGAAAGAGAAGTTTAGTATGGACCAAGGAGATCGTGAAGCAAAACTGAAGCCTCGGGAAAATTTTTTAAACTTGCGTTTTAGTATGTATATCTCAATAAATCTTCACTTGAACGTTACACTACAAAACAACAAACTCGAGACGTGTACTTACTTTGAACACGGAACGCATAACGTTGAAACATAGACACGAGTATTTTTGTCACCTTTTTTATACTCGTGTTGCCATTGAGCAACACTGTTTCTGTCAGAGTTCACACCTCCAGGTTCTCTTGAGCTACAATTCGCACAGACGGCACATTCTTGGCAGTGCCATCTTCCTTGTGGTACTCGTCGAAGTCCAACACAGTATATATGGTATCTGAAGATGATTAAACGTCATACAATCGTACTTAGATTAATTTGATATGTTGTATTCTCAATCTAAAACGCGTACCCTCTGTCGCACATATCACAGAAGAGCATTTTATCTTCGTCCGCAGGATCATGGCATTGAGCACAAGTTTTACAATCGGTGCATTGCCATGCGTACGATTGAATGTGAGGAACCATATCTAACGTTAAATCTATACATGATGGATGAACTGCGCAACGAGAACGATTACAATTATTACTACAAAATCGTTAAAAGATGCGTACGCAAAGTCAAACTAAAAAATAAGATTATTACCATGTCCATTGCATGTACCACATTGAATTAATATTTCATTCTTACTGAGTTTGTTTAATGTTTTCAAACACATTTTGCATTTTAATTTTACTTCTTCCTTTTGATTTACTATCTCCATATCTACTTCGTCCATTGTGGACTGAGAACCTTCGGTGTCTTGTGTTCCCTCGCTAGAAGATGAACTATATAAAAAATAGACGACTATCTTTCCACAAAAGATACTGATACGTTAATAATTTAACGTTACGATACGAACCTTGAATCGTCCGAGGATGAATCGCTGTCACTGTCACTCTGAGATCCTTCCGACTGACTATCAAATTTACGTTCGTTTGGTCTCATAGGACCGTATAGGACGGTATTTAAGGGGTAATATCGCAATTCGGCTGGCGTGTATTCACGATAATAATCTGTATATTGTCCTGGTATTAGAGCAACGGGATAATGGCCGACTTTGCGTTCTGTTTCCACTTTCTGTTGTTTCTTTGGCACATGTAGCGTAAAGGTCTGCAAATCTAAGCTACACTTTCTATTTTCTCTACGAGCTTTATTCAAACTAATGTTCCAGGATAGTGCAGATTGAACAGCCATTTCTGCTAGATCAATTCTATTCTTTTCTGCATTTGCAGCTGCCGTTAATTCTTTTTGTTTTTTGGAATGTTCCTTCACCTGCTTCTCGCGCATATGTTTCCTATATTCTTCGTACTGATCAGGAAAATCACTACACATTACATCTAACACCTCTGAACTACAAATGGCAGTTAAACCTAAAATAATATCAACAAAATCAAGATTTATTATAACTGTTTTATGTCCATAATATAGATATTACGATATGTAGATAAAAGAAATAATTATCGTACCCATGTCACACATTGCTTCGCTAACTAATCCATTCTCTCTCAAATAATTTCTTTCTTCCATATCTACCACCCTTCGCTTCAAGTCGGGATATTTCCTCTTAAAAGACTTTACACCAAGATACTGGGATATTTGCTCCTGTATCATAATAGTTTCACCTTTACGGTCAAGTGGCCATTCGTACTCAGCAATCTTGTCGACAGTAAATGGTCCTTCGTCTGGATCAAAATTAATTTCCATCCTTCGATTCTTCACCTTGACCTTTTCTGATTCTGTAGTTGCTGTACTAAGCACACTTCCCTGGGACTCTTCATTCACTATAGTTTCAGAAGCTGCAACAGTTATTATCGAAGCACAATTTGTTGAATACAAAGACATAACCAATTACAATATTACAATATGTTGCAATTTTAAATTAAAATTTAAAATCATAGGAAAAAGTGAAATTATATGTAAATCATTTATACCTTGATTAAAATAAATAAGAAGTTAGAAAGAAATTAGTCAACTGAAAGTCAAAGTTAAGATTAACAGTTAACATCAGTACTTTTATGTTTTCAAAGATATGTGCAGCATTTATAAGAAAATATACATTGTCGAGAGATATAATACTGACCATCATGGTTTTCAAATTCCATGCATACTAATTATGATTTGAAGTGATAGCACATTTTGTGTTTGATTTAAATACAACTATTTTACATTTAGATACCTGAGAGATGTTAGGACACAAGAAAAGATCTATTTATAGATACCTTGCTTGGAGATCTACCAATACATTTATCTTTTGATTTACTTTAGTTATACGATGACTATGGCTCATACTGTCTACTCCTTACTATGAAGCTGTATATTTTCTCTCCGAACAAGTATTATTAATGTTACGAATGAATTTAAAAAATACAAGAAGCATGATTCAACATTTATCTATATAAATTATATATAAAAACAAGATAAAGAAATGTATGAATAATATATACGATGACTCGTTTAGTACCTGGTGCAGAAATATTTCTAGCAGGAGTTTGAGATCTCGAACCAGATTCCGCGCTCATTCGTGTTTCTTCGTCGATGACCTGTACCGTAGACATATTTTCGTGTTTTCCAGCACTTTCTGCCGGTCGTTTCGACGTTGGTGTCAACCAGTTCAGGTGCTCTGGAGGTACTAATAACGTCTCTTTATTTTCCGACTTTACATTCTCCGTCGTCTTATCAGACTTTTCTTCAGCAGCTGACTTCAATGTGGTTTTCTGCATTTTTTCGGAACTCACTTCTGTCAACTTCTTATCTTTCATGCTATCTTTAGAGTCACTCATCACCGGTTTAGGCATTGTCTTGGAAGATTCTAATCGTACTTCCGACATTTTGGTTACATCCAATCGTATTTCCGGTATTTTTGATACTTCCATTCTTATATCCGGTACTTTTGTTGCTTCTATTCGTACTTCCGATACTGTTGTCGCTTCCAATCGTACATCCGATACCTTGATCGCTTCCAAGTGCACAATCGTAGAACTTGAAGGTGTACCCTTGCGTGCATCATTCTTTTGTCCTCCAGCCTTTTTCTCGGCTCGAATCTTAGCGTCCATTGCTGGTTGCTTAAGAACTTTGTACAATTCCGGTGATTTTCCAAACGACTGTTGCTGCACCGGAGGATCATCTATCGTTATTACAGCCATCGTCGAAGCTTCTATCGCGGTTAAATCTTGCTCCATCCTAGGCTGTTTTATCATTTGAAGATCCACGATATCCAATTTTCGCTTTCCCCGACCTACCAAACATAGAGAAACATATTTTAAAAAATTTGGACGCAATTCAAGTCAGAAAAAGTCTTGTAAAAGATACAAACCTCGCCCTCTACCTCTCTTAGGTGGTGCATAACTTTTTTGACTCCTACAAGTTCGTTTGGGCCTCTCGTTCTCTCTAGATTCTAAAAGTGGGACTTGTGGTTGTTGCTTCTGATGTGCTTCGTCCAAAGACAACGGATCTCTAGGCATCAACAAATGAGGCGGAGGATGGGTGGCTGCTTGGACCAGCGGATTCCTTCTGGGTCTACCTCTTTTCTTGGGCACCTTTACTTCTGGCATTCTAGTAGGTGGTACTTCCTCTATGATTACAACGTCCTGACTAGAATTCGAATTCTCGTTCACTATGATCAATTCTGGTCGATGCTCGATGATCTCGCAATCAGAATTCATTGGGGAACCGGTTGTATTCTTCGCTAAGATGTCCTTGAGTTTTTCGCTCATCGATGTATCCGACGACTTCGACGGTCTTACTTGGGTAATACTGATCTCCTGGCTAATTACATTCATCTGCTGAAGACTGATCGCGCTTGATTTTGTATCGAACAAGAACTGCTTCTGGTCCCTAGACGCGACAGGCTGAATAGTCACTTCGGGCAAAATCTGAGTGAGCTGAGCTTCTAGTTTGGACTTCTTTGGCTCTATTGGCGCGATCGTGACCTCTTTACGCTTAGGTGATATTTCGACCACACTGTCCGCTTTCTTTCCCGACACTTGCACAGGTTCGATCGTCAATTCCGACCGATTGCTTTGCAAAATAGTCGAGTGTCCGGTTTTGAGTATTTTCAGTGCAGGCTCTTTGTGAACAGCTTGCGTCGATTCTTTGTACCTCTGAGCGAAACTATGAGTCTGTTCTGAAACTTCTTTTGTCCTATGGGTGGATTCCGCGTGAGTATCACAAGCTACTATCGTCGGATGACCGGTCTTGGACAATTTAATCTTCATTTCCAAGGGCGATTCGGTGTCTCGACGTTTCAGTTGTCTCTCTTTCTTCTCTGTATCCACTATAGAGGCATCACCTGTTTTCAACAGCTTGATCTTCATCCCTAACGCAGCGTCAGTGGTTTTAGAATGTTCCGCATCGCTACGTATCGTTTTATTTATATCCTCGGACACTTCAGATTGTATGATCGAAGCATCGCCAGTTTTGGACAACTTGAACTTCATTCCAATAGGAGACTCCGTTCGTTTAGATGTCTCCTGATGAAGCCTGGGCTCCTCTAATTGCTCTTGCTTATCCGTGGGTACTATGGATGGATCTCCAAATTTGGAGAGTTTAATTTTCATGCCAATTGACGATTCAACTTTGGTCGAAGCTTCTTGCGCGACTTCTGATTCTTTTGTGGATTCTTGCGCGACTATCGTCGCGTCTATTGACTTCACAATCTTTCTTTTCACGGCAGAAGACGTGTCCGATGGTTTCGCCGTGTCCTGCTGAGTATCCAATTTCTCCTTGCTCTCTGATTTTTCCTTCTGTTTGGTTTCTTTACCCTCGTCCGAAATTTCCGAATGAACGATAGACGCGTCCCCGGTTTTCGACAATTTGATCTTCATTCCAAGCGGCGAATCAGTCCGTTTAGGGACATCCGGGATCTCCAGTTTCTCCTTCGCGTCATCCGGATTCTCCATCGAAATTATGGACGCTCCACCTTTCGTCATGGCCAGCTTAATTTTCATTCCCATCGGGGACTCGGTCCTCTTTGGAATTTCGGGAGACGAATTCTCTACCTTGTCCTTTACCTTGCTCGTGTCCTTACCTTCATCCGGCATGTCTGGCGAAACAATCGAGGCGTCCCCGGTCTTGGATAACTTGATCTTCATCCCGATGGGAGAGTCCATTCTCTTGGGGGAGTCGTAAGATGCCTCTAATTTCTCCTTAGGACGTAATTGTGCTTCTCTGTGGTCTTCCTGAACCTCGTGTCTCTCCGGTTGTATTATCGACGCGTCTCCGGTTTTCGACAACTTGATCTTCATTCCAATAGGAGACTCTGTTCTCTTGGGACTTCCCTGAACTATGTCCAGCTTCTCCTTGTGCTTTATCTGCACGTCTTTTGCGTCCTGTTGCACTATGGATGCGTCGCCACTTTTTGATAGTTTGATCTTCATTCCGATCGGCGACTCGGTCCTCTTGGCTTCCTCAAATTTGTGTTTCGTTTCCTTCGAATCGTCCGCCTCGTGCTTCTCGGAAGACACTATGGACACGTCCCCTGATTTCGACAATTTGATCTTCATGCCGATCGGAGACAACGACAAAGAGCCCTCCGAATACCACTGTCCCATTTCCTCGATGTTTTCGTTCGATATTATCGAAGGGTGACCGCTCTTCGACAGCTTCAATTTGATCTTTCCCAATTTCTGTCCCGGACTGTCCTCAGGATTCGGCGAATTGGTCGCGGACCTGATCTTCGGACTCTTAGGCGATCTTGGCTCGCCGCAATCGGTGATCGCAGATTTAGCAATCTTTAAGATTATCCTTGGCGAACCGACATTCTCGAAATCGTGTTTCTCGGAGTCCTTCCGTGGCGTTTCCGTGATCTTCGGTTCCAACCTCTCGGACAACTTTGGCGACTCCAACATCTTTTGGTAGGCGATCAATTTCGCGTCCTTCGGAATGAGAAGACTGTCCTTGGATGTCGTCGGGGAAATCAAAACCTTCGTCACATCCGTGGGTGGAATTTCTATCTTAGGCGGCTCTTTCAGACGTTCCTCCAAAATCGAGACTTTTGGGATAGTTTCCGAAACTTTGAGGATCGTCTGAGGCAATGTTGACATCGTTTCGATCATCCTTTTGTTGTCGATATTTAACGTTTGTTGCATTTTAACGTTCTGCGAAGAGCCCTCGTCGAATTTAACATCGGTCTCAAATATTTTAATCTTTTCTGCGTCCGCGGCCAGCTTATCGTCCTCATTCTCAAACTTCTGTATAGCCGCGTCGAGCTTAATTTGTTCGGCAAGCTTCCTTTCGCTCTCCAGTTTCGCAGCTTCCGATATGATTTCAGCCTCGGAAATGGAAATCGAATCCGTCTCGATATTTTCAAGCTCTACCACCAGTTCCGACCCATCCTCGCACATTTCCTCGTCGGGTACAAAGAGAGAGGACGTATCTGCCTGTTTTGTTATGTCGTGCACCACGCTTTCTACCAGCTTAGAAGAGAGCGCCAAAGGAGAATCAATAGTCTGTTCTTCGGACTCTTGAAGAAATTTAACAGCCGACTCTAATTCGGATATTTCAGAACTAGGCTGTGACGTTTCTACACAGGCCGACGCATCATTCAAATTTTCACTTTGGTCTACGTTTGATAACAATATATCTTGAGCCAATTCCAGCTTAGATTCAGTTTCTTCCAGATCATCTACAGACTCCAACGGGGTTTCTTCGAAGTCTATGTCTAGTTCATTCACTGGTAAACCAGTATCTGCATCCACTTCCTTCTGTAAATTTTCTACATTATCATCTTTATTCATAGACGCGGAAATTATAATGTCATTGACTTTTAATACATTACTTGCCTCAGATTCTTCAGTCTTATCGTCTATAGCCTCAATTGTGTTATTTTTCTCTATATTATCTTCCAACGATAGGGTATTGCTGTCTGTTAAACAACTACTAATAACGTCGGTTATATAATCCGAAGCTTGTGTCACGTCAGGAGCATCATTTGACTGTTCCAATAAAAGGGTCATATCTACATCCTTCGGTGATGTCAGTTCTTCCCGAGTTTGTTCTTCTGGTTCCATCGTTTTTAACGTTGCATCCTCACCTTCTGGTATCAGATCTAAGCCCAGCAATCCTTCCAAAGAATCCATATTTTGCGTCGATATCGTATCCTCCATGTCTTTGTTCAGAATGTCTTCCGAATCGTGTGGCAGCTTCTCAGTTAATTCCTCCATTTCAGCCTCCACCAATGGTAAATCCGCAGATTGTTGAAAAACTGTTTCCATTTCGTTAGCCACATCCACTTCTGTTGTTAAAATGTTTTTAAAATCAGTTGCGCTTCTGACATCATCCAGAATACTTGTGACAATGTCCTCTGTGTTTTGACTCTGTTCTCCAGTGAACATTTCTTCTGTATTGTTACTAGTATCTAAAATATTCTTTAAATTATTTCCATCTTCATCGCTTTTCGAATCACTATCTTCTATATGTTGTTTGTTTGATAGCTCTTGATTTTTATTTACATCCTCTATTACCATTGAATCTTCGGTGCTATCCAAATTAATGATTTTTTCTGCATTTGTATCAAGAATGTTTAGTTTTTCTATATTCAATGAATCTGTATTAGCATCATCCATTTCTACAACAGTTGGTTCACTTTCTTTACAAATTTCTTCAATAATTTCCGTCACGTTTTCTTTCTCCGAATCTTGCTTAGGATCATCTTGATTCATTTCTGACTGCGATTCAACTTCATCTGGTTCTGAAGTTAAATTCAATTCCTCCTCTGTACCTTCCTCTTCTGCATTCCCTTCAGGTATTAAAATTTCAGTACAATCTGATGGTGACAACAATGAATCTTTTGGGACAGACTTTATATCAGAAATTTGATCTTCGCTAGCGATAGACTCTTTAATTTCTTTTATTTTTACATCTGTTTTGCATTGTATCGCAGTTGTATTATCTTCTATCAACTGCTCAGGATATCTTTTATCATCGCTTTTACAAATGTCTCCGTGTTTCCCTAATGTACTTGTTTCTGTTTCCAATGATTCCTCTGGTTTTACAAGAACTTTGAAAGAAGAACTTTCATCTTTGTCTTTAGTTGACTGTACATCAATTTTAGTTTCTTCAGAGAGATTAAGATCTATATCTTCACCTTTTTCAACAATTTCTAGATCTTTCAACTCTGTATGCTGCTCAATAATATCATCTGTATTTGAAGTTTCTTTCGTTTCTGTTTCTTCAATTATTCTATCCTGGACATCTTTTAATTCTTCGCTTTGCTCTTCAGAAATACATTCTTCAATTTTCATTGATTTTGTATTTATAACACTGTTTTCATCGGTATTAGTATCTACAGACATTGTAATATTTGAAGTTGCCAATGACTCTACTACAGGAACTACAGAATCTACCTCCATTTGTGCATCACGATCAGAAGTTGTATCAGAAATTACTGATGTACATGTTTTCAGTTCATCCTTAGGTTTCTCTTCAGTAATTGATAATTCCATTGCTTCTACTGATTCATTGATAGAAGGTTCCTTTGTCTCAGTTTCAGATGGCATAGGATTCTGGCTTTTGCTATCTTCAGTTTGTATATCTATATTAATTTCTGCATTCACAATATTTGCTGCATTATTGACTAAATTTTCAGTTTGCAAGGGTAACTCTGTAATAATTTGTGAATCTAATGCAGAATTTTCCCCAAAAGTTACAGAATCCTTGTCGCTTGTTTGAGAGGACAATTGACTGGTCAATGGTTTCAAAGAATTTTCTTGCACTTCTTTTATAATCTCCAATTTTCTAATATTCAATTCTTCTTTTTCTTGTGGTAGTTTCAATACATCTGAATTATCCTTTATATCTTGTGAATCCAACTGTTGGCATTCCCCAACTTTAGAATCATTTATATTTTCTGGTTGACATTGTGTAGATTCTGTTTCTAATTTATTTTCCTTTTGAGTAAGTACTGCATCATTATTTATATTCACTTCATCATTTGACTCTATATCTAATAAGTTGTTATCGTCTGCATTGATTTCAATATTCAAAATATTGACAGATTCTTTGTTTTCTTTGTATGTACATTTTTTAGAATCATGTTTCCATTCCTCTTCTGTATCCATACGTTCTACAACTCCTTCTACAATGTCGGTTTCATGTTTCTCTATTTCTGTATTCCTTACAAGTTCTGTTTCATGTTTTTCTACTTCTAAGTTCTCCTCTACAATGTCTGTTTCAAGATTTTCCATTTCTGTGTTTCCTTCCACAGTTTCTGTAGAATGAATTTCCATTTCCTTTGTGTCTTCTTTTACAATATTTGTTTCATGTGTGTCAGATTCTATGTTGTCCTCTACCATTTCTGTGCTATGTATTTCCATTTCTTTGTGTTCTTCTAAAATGTCTGACTCGTGTATTCCAACTTCTTTTGTATTTCCATCTACAATGTTTGTTCTATGTTTATCCATTTCTATGTTTTCTTCTACAATTTTGACTTCATGTTTTTCCACTTCTGTATTTCTTTCTATAATTTCTGTTTTATGATTCTCTACTTCTGGTTTTTCTTCTATAATTTCTGTTTCAGGTACTTCCATTTCTACATTGCTTTTTACAATTTCTGGCACATGCTGTTTCGTTTCTGTGTTTTTTTCTACAATTTTTGTTTCATGTTTTTCCGCGTCTGGGTTATCTTGTACAACTTTTGTATCCTTTTTTTCCATTTCCGTGTTTTCTTCTACAATTTCCATTTCTGTATTTTCTTCAACAATTTTTGTTTCGTGTTTTCCCACTTCTGTGTTTTCTTCTGCAATTTTTATTTCATGTTTTCCCGCGTCTGTGTTTTCTTCTACAACTTCCATTTCTGTATTATCTTTTTCTACCTCTGAGCTTTCTTCTATAATTTCTAATTTTTGTATTTCCATTTCTGTGTTTCCTTCTACAATTTCTGTTTCAGGTACTATCATTTCTGTGTTTCCTTTTACAATTTGGGTTTCATCTATTTCCGTTTCTGCGTTTTCTTTTGCAATTTCTGTTTCATGTATTTCCGTTTCTGTATTTTCTTCTACAATTTTTGTTTCATGTTTTCCCACTTCTGTATTTTCTTCTACAATTTTTGTTTCATATTTTTCTGCTTCTGTGTTCTTTTCCACAATTTCCATTTCCTGTTTTTCCATTGTTGTGTTTTCTTCTACATTTTCTATCTTATGTACGTCCATTTCTATGTCTTCTTTTACAACTTCTGTTTCACATTCTTTCATTTCTGCGTTTCCTTCTACAATTTCAGTCTCTGTATTTTCTTTTACAATCTCTGTTCCATGTTCTGCAGTTTCTATGTGTCCTACAATAATTTCTGTTTCATGTTTCTCATCTTTTGGAACAGAAGTATCATCCACAAGCTCTATACTCTTTTTATTTATTTCCATTTCAGAACATTCTATTATTTCATTTTCTTCTCCTAGTTTCAAATCATCTTTCTCTTCCAGTAATTCCTCTGCTTTTATTACATCCATATCAGCAAGATCTACATTGATTTCTTCTTTTTTAGATTCTAAATCAACACTTTTAAAACTATCTATTTTGTATTCATTAGGAACAATGTCTTCTGTTTTTTCTAGAGCACTAGACAATTCTTCTGTGTGTCTACGTTCTTCAGAAATACTAGATGTATCAATTTCCATATTGTGCACTTTATTCTCTACAGTTCCAGAAGGAATATCCTTGTTTGTACACACCTTACTTAAATTTATATTATCAGACATTTCAGGGACACTATTTAAATTATCTAATGTATCATAGGAATCACTTGTTTCCTTTTTCTCTTCCTTGTGAATTAAACAGCTTTTGTTAGAAGTAACTGTTGTAGCTATTATATGTGGCTCAATGTCATTTGTACTCATATCTTGCGAGTCCTCTGAACTATATGCTTCCCCAATAAGCTGTAAACTTCCACGAATACCACTATCAGTTTTTACAGTTATTACTTCATTATTTAGTATGCTGATTTGAACATTATGATCTTGTTGATCTTCACTAGATGTAATAGTTTTTTCTTTCTTTGCAGCCTCCAAAGTCAATGAAATATGATCACCTGAAGATTGACTAAACACATCTGTTTTGTTTGTAACACCGATAGAGTCTGTTAATACAGTAGTTTCACAATCTTTCTGTTGATTTTTGAATCCCATATTCTTGAACGAAGTGTTTTTATTATTAGGCTGCAAACATTCTTCGCTTAATTGTCTTACATCGCTATCACAAGTTGTTTCTTCGGTACAAACATTGTTCAAATTCTGTACTACAGATTTCAAACATTCGTTCGTGTCAGATATTCGAATAGGATTGATGTTTTCAACTTTGGAAGCCTTTTGGCCCTCGGACATATTTTCCTCTTGCTTCTCAAACTTGTCTTCGATTATATTTTGACTTCCATCTGTTTTTGATTCTGTAATAATTTGAGAAAGCGCTGCAATTTCGCTTTCTAAGGTGGAATCACTGACTGGTTCCGATTGAACACCAATAATATCATTAATATCCATGATGCTTAGAGCTTCTGTGTCATAAGTTTCCGAATCACTGTCAATACAATAAGGAGCGTAACGGTCTGGCGAATCGTCCTTGACTTCTTGTTTTGTTTCGTTTGTCTCGTCTTTGGAGCCAAACAGGCCCATCTTAGGACTTTCGGACATTGTTTTGATATTCGATGCTGGGCGCGTTATATTTGCATTCGCGAGCTTGCTTCGTCTTCGCCGTACCTATCCATGGGAGAACAATTTGTACTGACATTCGGGTGGATTTTATTATTCGTTACTTGTTGGCTTCTGAGTATTGTCCACTGACATGGTATCATCGTCCCATGGAGTTTTTATGCATCGTAGAATTCAAGTTTATTTATTTACGCTTCGAATTACACATAACCAAAACTATTTTTCCAAAACAGCCTTGTATCGATTTTCGTAAATCGAGCGCGCTAATTAGTTTATGAAACACTTAATACTTTACAAAGGATTCCATTTAGACTAACATAACCTACACTTTTGGCAATACTTCGTAACTTTCGTAGTACATTTTGTCAACTTCGACGTTCCTCGAAACGACGCTTAGACATCCAGATCAGTGTGGCCAGATTTGGCATAATTGAGTGCATTGACGGCGACACTAGTAACGACGAACTTCCTTAGCGTCTAACGGAGTGTGGGGAAAGCAGATATACATATGCTACCGCACGGACCGTATGTACGTGAGCTTGACACTTCGTACAACTTCGGGAAATCGAGAAAGAAGGCGAATGTGTCTTTTCTTCTTGCTCTTGCACGAGCTAAAATTCAAGTTGATTCAATTTGAAATTATTCAACCTCGAGACAATGATTGCATCTAAACGTCTGAATGAATTTTAACGAAACCTTACGTTTAAGTTTTATATTCTCGTTTTAAGGTCCGATTAGATTTTGAGCGTAATCATTTCACGAATAATGATGATTATACGTCTTGTAGTTTTTTAATTATTCCGATACATGTAAATTATTTGTAAAAATTTTTTAAAACGTTTTATATAAATCTTAAGAAGGATTAAGTTCAAATAAACTTTACCTCCACTTTCTCTATCTGCTGTTACAGGACAGTATTTTGTTTATATTCCCCGCGGGGCGCTGGATTATAGAAATGACGAGGAAGGAGAGAAAGGGACATAAATATCCATAGCCTAATCCCTATAGGTTTTTAAAGGACAATAATTAGAAATAAAATTCTATTGCATGAATAGCAGTATTTAGACATCAATTTAATGTATTCCATTTTGTAGAAATGAATACATAGGGAAATTTAAAACTAGAAGAATATATTTAAACATGAAATCAATTTATACCTTTCAAGCATGCATCTGTGATAAACGTTGATTAAGCGATATGGAATCCATAATTAGTTCACCGATAATTACACTATGTATCTCCAAAAATATTTGATGCTCTCAGTTTATAGCAGAATAGTATTTATGGTTAATAAATGACCTGCACATTAAAGAAAAGTGAGATACCGAATGATCATCTTTAATGTACTTTCTACAAGACCACCTGGAAAAAGTATTTTAGCGTATATAAATTCATAATATTAGATTTAACAGAACATTGTATCTTTATTTTATACAAGATTTGAACTTTTACTTAAAGCTAAAGTGTAGCATTATAAAACGTCTTTCATTTCATATACTTACAACTTATGTCTTAGAACAAAAGATGTACTTATAATGTTTCTGCAAAACTATTTTAAAAAAAGCATTTGTTTATTTATTTTTATTATCAACACAAATATATTTCTTAATAAAAAATTAATTCCTTTACACAGACATAATTATTATAATGAGAATTTACAAAACGATCTTCAAAACAATTTAAGTAGCAGACTGTTTGTAATTTTTTGTACTCATTAGTTTTTTACCACACATTGCACATATAGCTTTCTTATATGCACACGATTGACAATAATGCGATCCAACTTGATGTACTTTCTGCCTGCATATTCTACAAGTTTCAAAAGCTGTGGTGTATGGATTAAATCTTGCCTTTCCTGCAGAGAGTGCTTTATTCTCTCCTACTTTACGCCCTCCACTTTCTACAGTATTCCTTGCACCAGATTTCCATGGATCTGGAGTTATCACTCTTCCCAATTTCTTCTCACACTTCTCACAAACCATTTTGAATCACACTTAAAATCTTAATACTAAAACAAGAAATACAGTACAGTATACTGTAACAAAATTACATAAAAAGCTGCATAATTATGTTACAAACTAAACCTTAGATAATATTAAAATACTACGCATAATATAACAAACTTTTATTTATGCAAGTAATAGTGAAACGATATCTTTCCAACAATAGCACACGCAGAGATTGGTTACAATATTTTGTTATTTATAGACAATAAATATACGTAAATATTGTATTAATTTCGAAAAACAAGTGACAATGAATTCCTAACCTTATAAGCGCCATATATTAAAATTACAGTTAAATAAACGTCTTATATTGTATGTCCATGTATAAACATAGATGTTAGATTGCAGCGAAAGAAAAGAGAGCCAAAAAGCATCACAACTGCTCAGAATATAGACGCAACCGACTCTAATAGATACAAACTATACTCAGCGAGACAGTGAAGCTGTGAGAGTCTGATTTTACACTAGATAGAAAGAGTATGTAGCATTTACGTGTCCCTGACTATCCAGTATAAAATCGAATTTTCGCAGCTTTACTGCCTCTCATTCAGCATGATTTGTACTAGAATCAGCTGTGATTTAAAGCATAGATCATACCTAAGTTTAAGATTCAGAGTATTTCCAGATAGACAAAAATGGCTCACATTTGTCCTCTTTCTCGACCCCTCGTTGTCGAAATACCGAGCATACAAGCACGTACTTAATGTTCAAGCAGTGATGCCAGAAAAGCATCGTCGGGTGCACACTCCACATGCAAGATACGCGTACATGAGCTCGTGGAGTTTCGGAAAGACGACAAAGGCAAACTGACGCATGCCCTCTTTCCGAAGTAATTTCGGACCGCTTCGTGGAAGTCGAGAGAGAAAGGCTCACATTTGCCTTCTCGCTCCCACACAACTGAAATCCGACCTCCCGTCAACGGCATACGATTTGGATTCTCGACTGCCCAGGCATTTTTACTTTCCGACCTATGTAGGCGCACATAAGCAAAGTACCCATAATGAAAAAAAAATTTTGTAAAATTTATTTTACGGAAATACACGTTTTAAGACCTCCTGATCATATTTTAATTATTGAAAAAAAAGAAATTTTTTTTTATTCCCATGTATGAGCACACATATGTATATTATTAATACGATTTTTGAAAATAAATAAAGTAAAACTTATCTCATTGAAATTTTTTCTAGAAGTAGTACCTAGAAAAAAGTATTAGACAACATTTGATTTTGATTTCGATTAAAAATCAAATTTATATTGTTTTAAATTCGCAGCCATTAGCTCGGTGTTACCCATAATGAAGAAGTTGTTCTTCAAAGGTAACACCGATTACCAGGTCTCACCACGAGGAGGTTGCTGCGAGTGGAGACCCAAAGTGAGATCGATGGAACAAAGTTCGATCGACCTTCCTTTTTACACACTAGATTACGCAAAAAAAAAGATGCCAAGTAATTACTGTTCTAAAACAAAGGAGGAAGGTAAATTGTGGGAGACGCGACACGACGAAACGCGACACAATACTGCACAGTGCAGTAGGAACATGAGGTGCGACACGTACCGAATAGCGGGTCAAAAGGGGCAGCTCGTTACCTCTTAGCAAGTCCAATTGAAGGGGAGGAGAATCGACGCACCAGACACGGGTTCCCCATTTCTCCAACGCGTCCTGCTGGGAGCCCGTAGGACCCAACCCGGGACGTCTTACACAGGAGAGAGATCCTGAGTCGGGGCTACCGCAGACAGGAACAGGTCCCCTCTACGGCCGATGACTCTTTCCCTAGAATTGTCTCACCAGAGGACGGCAACCGACCCTTCGAACCATCTAAACGGCCGATCACTTGCTTTCTACATTAAAGCAGCGGTGACCGGAGAAACGAGACTGGAAAAGAAGCTATTAATGAATTCATTACTTGGCAATCTACGCAGTAAATAAAATAATATACAATGTAAATTGAAAATTAACGTCGTAGGTGGAATTAATGAGATTAAGGAATTGAAATAAACATAGGAATGAATAAGAAAGGAAAAAGAAATATTCGACGTTAATTTTTACACTCGCGCCGCGCCTTAAATTTAATGCCCTTACGTGCAGATGAATCCGAAGTCCTCTATCTAAAAATTGACCTGAATAAAAACTAAAATAAAAATTAGTAGTTAAACAAACAAATTAATTAATAATAAATATAAGGACAAAGAAACAAATATACAATCAAGAAGAGAATCATTTGGAAAATAACAACCCCACGATGTTGAAAATGAGGAAAATGAGGAAAATGAGGAAAATGAGGAAAAATAACAACCCAACGATGAAGAAACCAAGAACAGAATAATTTAAAAAATATCGACCCAACGATGTAAAAAAACGATGTAAAAAAGCTGAAATAAAAATAATTGATTCATTAACGAGACGAACAACCCAAATAGAGTACATCACCTATATATATATATAAACAAAAAAGACAATGTTGGGATTAGTTGTATTAATATAATTACATGTATACCAAACGGTGATCCTTCCTGGTCAGCATCGCAGAATCAGAGAATCTGAAACAGAAATTACGCGTGACAGTACCCCTGGCGGTTACAGGAGTACTGAAAGGAGTTGCCCAGCTGTGTCCACTTTTATGCAGTCAAGCCAAAGTATCAACGAGCCAATCAGCAGCCAGTCCGCTGGGGGCGACACTCCGATACGGCGACACTTGCTTCACCTAAGTTGATAAGAGACCCCCCTGTGGCCCTCGCGCGGGAGTTATCGCCCAACCACCAAGCAAGACGGACCGTCTCGAGATGAAGAATTTAATCGAAGATTTACATTCGATCAAAATCGAAGATGGCGGCCAAGAAGATGTTTCACGAGCAACGGCCAAGGGACAAAACCGGTCTTTTTAAAGACCAAGAAAATCTCATTTGTGGGAACAACTTATGCAATGAACTGAACAACTTTTATATTTAACAACTCAGAGACACTTTACATCTCTGTTTTGTAACAACTTTTATATTTAACAACTCAGAGACACTTTACATCTCTGTTTTGTAACAACTTTTATATTTAACAACTCAGAGACACTTTACATCTCTGTTTTGTAACAACTTTTATATTTAACAATTCAGAGACACTTTACATCACTGTTTTGTAACAACTTTTATATTTAACAACTCAGAGACACTTTACATCTCTGTTATGGCACAAGTTATGCAATAAAACTGAACATGGTATATTTGCCTATACATATAGGAAGGAAATTCGTCGTTAGTATTGTCGCCCGTCAATGCACTTAATTATGCAAGATCAGTATACTATCTAATTTTATTTTTTATTATACCGGTTTGTAATATCGTAAAGATCAATGCAAAAACATTATGCACAGCTCTTGTATTTCTTTGATTTATCCAAGTAGTGAAAGTATAATATTTAACAAACTTTTGATTCAAATAAAATAACGAATGACACAAAATTTGAGTACCTGTTACATGCAACCTATGTATAAATACATAATAACTAATATTGATATACGCATAACGAACTTAGTTTGTGATATGAAACATTAAGAAAAGTGTAAATTAATAAATAGGTTTCAAAATGGGTATTCCGGGTTTAACAACTTTCATAAACAATCGTTCAGATCGTTATTTGGAATAGTTCGAGCTACGTGATACGTATTTAGTTATTTAGCTGTCAAATATATAATTCGTACAAGTGCAATTGTGTTTTTGTCGGTGATTACGATAATTACGCTCAACGAGTTACGGATTTTTTTGACGATTTGATAAAGTGCAATGCAGTATCATTAGTTTTGATCGATTGTGGTTGCGAGGATAAGAAACTGCAAACAGTTACATCTAGAACTAGAGAAAAGGTTCGTACAGCATCATCTTATTCTCCGATCTGTCAACAGAAAATGAAATTTTTTCCTTTACATATTTAGGAAGTTTTCAAAGATGTTACGAGAAAGAAGAATATTCGTCATGTGCAATGCTTATTCGAAGCTGATAATGCTATAGCTACTGTAGCAAGGATATTGAATTGTCCTGTATCGAGTTATGATTCAGATTTTTATGTGTTTGGGACATTGTACATACCATTTGATACATTGGACAATTACACTGTGAAAAGTTCAACTGGAAATGGTTACACGAAACGTTGTAAAATTTATAAAGTTGAACACTTATTAAATTCTTATAGAGGTCTAAGTCAATCTACACTGCCATTAGCTGCAATATTACTAGGCAATGATTATGTAAAACGTGGTACATTTAGAAACTTCTTTCGTTATTTAAAGTTACGACGAATAACAAGAAAAAGGTATAGTAATCGACAGTATTGTATAGAAGCGACTTTACAATGGTTGAGCGGATTTTACACCTTGGACAGAGCAGTCATTGGAATACTATGTAGATCACCTAAAACCGTAAGACAAAAAATATTAAGCATAATAGAAATCAATATAAATGGCTATACAAATGCATCTGCAGAAATACTTGCTTACTTCCATTGGGGTTTTCACAGGAATATGCAGCTCGTGCCACAACACATTCCATAAACAGAATTTTTAAATTTGATGGAGATGTTAATAGTCTAATGTACATGGAAGAAACTGATAAAAATGGAGACTTTGAATCACCCGAAGAAAAAGAAGAAGAGGAAGAAAACGAAGTTGAAATATTAGACATGCTTAAAGGGGTCAGAATCTGCTACCAATAATGCACTAGCTGATGTACCTAATTTGTTTGTAGATGAATATCTTATGGGCAATTATCCTGCATATTTTATGGACTTGTTGGTTCGACGTTTATATATTTGTCCTGTACAAATAGAGGATTATTCCTATCCATTGAGCAATGTAATAAGTTTAAAAATTATTAGAGTTATATATGCATTTCTGTAATCAGGAATGAATAGAAGGAGAGGTTTCATGAAATACATGATGAGAGACTGTAATAAAAAGCTGAAATGTTACGAACTAGAAGGCACTGACACTAAATTTTCTTCCCCATTACTGTCCCTATCTAATCTTAGAGAAGTACCATTAACGAGTCCAGGATTAAAAAATAATGTACAAACATGCATCATTGATTTTTCATTACCATTTGAATTTAAATTCAAGTTATATAGACACAAATATATAAGCAAAGCCCATATTGAATGAAAAATTGACACGTAAATACACGTTTCAAGACCCCCTGATCATGTTTGACATAAAACAATACTTTGGAAATAAATCGTTTGAATATAGTTTATCAAGTAAGACTTTCGAAATTATTTTCAAACAATTTATTTTCTAATTGTTCTACTATTTGAAATAATAATTTTTTGATCTTACAGCAAAGAACGTTTACTTAATATCAATTCAATAAATTCAATTTGTATTTGTTCAGTTTTATTACATAAGTTGTTCGAAAACAGAGATGTAAAAAGTCTCTGAGTTGTTAAATATAAAAGTTGTTCCAAAACAGAGATGTAAAAAGTCTCTGAGTTGTTAAATATAAAAGTTGTTCAGTTTAGTGGTTCCCACAAATGAGATTTTCTTGGTCTTTAAAAAGACCGGTTTGTCCTTTGGCCGCTGCTCGTGAACCATCATCTTTG